TCATTGCAGTTTAGAAAGAAAATGAATTACTGTACATTAAAGAGAACCATATTTTGTATGTGTGTGGGGCTAAAAATTGCTACATATCAAAATCAGTAAAGAAATGATCAAAGCCACCTAGCCTGAAAGGCTATATTGCAAATACAGTACAGTACTGACAACAATATTCACAATTGTGTCCACAAATCAGTAATTCTATACATTTTAGAAATTTAAAAATCACACTACAAAGGAAAAAAAGCTTGTCTTTTAAAATTAAACTCACGACTACGTATTCAATAAGGAAATGCTTTTATAATAGCCACCAGTATATCCTACCTAAGATATCATGCAACAATTTTAATACTACACGTGAACTGAATTAGATGTGATGAGAGTTTAGGTGCCACTTTTTCACAAAAGTTTTGAACAAGTTATTTTTTTTGATAGATCACCATGTTTTTGATTTTCCAGTTATCAAATTTTTCTTTTAAATAAAATTATGGCTTTATAAGCAGTAATATTCTAGGTTTTCAAGGAACATTTTACACTGAAGCTCCACACCCATGTTGTACTTAAATATTCTTAAAGGGAAAAGTATTTCATATGTACATTTTCACAAAATCCTAGTTAAATAGGCTAAACAAATTTGCAGAAAAATAAATCAAAGTAAGCTCTCATCAAATTCATTAAAGGTGCCATAAATAATTTAATTATGTGACGTCAAAAAAGGTTAGGTGAGGATATTTGTTTGGAAATGTAAGAAACATAAACCTTCAGACATGATAGTTGACAATAGACAGCAAGCAGCAGAAGATTAAATGCAATTTAGAGTATACAACCAACAGCAATCCGTCACTAACAGTAGAAGCTATAAGTTTTCGGAATTAATAGTGATTTTTTTTTACAATTTTGGGGGTGGGGAAGGGGGTGGCAAAGATTTTTTTTACAAACTTAACTCTACACAATCCTATTTAAACCCCAAATATTTGTGGCAAATATATAATTGCTATTGGAATGGCAATGCAACATGCAAAGCATTTACAAACAAAATCTCAAAGGAAACGTGTAAAATATCCTTTAAGAATTCTCAAGGCTAAACAAGGCTAATTTTGTACTGTATAAGGTAAATATCCAACCCCCTTAATAAAACACAGGTACTAATATTATAATATATTTACTATACTGCTACCTAGGCAATAATCTTAGTGTTGGATACTTAAGCCAATGTTGTGTTATCTACACAATAAAAATCTTGTATTCTGTTGAGTGAAATATGGTGCTGGCACAAAACTATCTATACAGCCTTACCTAACAGAGTATGAGCATTGAATACCAAAGGACATTTGTATAGAGAACGATCACCCTAATGTGATCATAGCAGTATAAACATTGTAATAATATATACTACTACTATGATCAGCAAACAATGTTACCTAGCCAAACATTACCTAATCAATACAAGTTATTAATCATGGTGAAGGGTGTTTCTCCTAAACTTTTTTCAGGTGAATGGAATGTAACTTAACATGACAATGCTGCTCCAACACGATAATTTAATACTTGCTCAACATCAGAGAAGCAATAATGCAATTGTTATACTCAAATATATAAAAAAAAAAAAGTTTGTTTCCAATCAGCCATTAAAAAAAATAAAATTGCACATTCAAATCTCATCCACGCAACTGTGATCATAGCATGTACAAACTAAATGTACTAATAAAAAATCTGCTTATTATGTTACTTATTTTTGGGGTTAAGAGCATGCAATAGTAAGATATTATGGCTAGATAAACCTACCCCAGCCTAGCAGCATATATTTTGGTGTACGTTTATACTCAAGGCTCATTTTATTTCCTTTCAGGTCAAGTTGTTCTTTTTTCAACATGTACATAACCTATACTAGCAACATTAATTTAAAAAATTAAGCCTAACATAACACTCAACCTAATCATAAATACCCTTAAGGGTATTTATGATTATTTAGTATTTATGATTAGACATGTCAAGTTAGGTAAGTACTGTATCTAACTTGACATGTCCATGAAGTCTAGACTAATGTGTCAAACTGGAAGGGGCAACCCATCCTCATATTACTTTAATGTATAAAATTAGTGTAAAAATGTGTTTGTAAATTAAATATTTAAAATATTGATATTTTTGGTTTAGGTACTGTATTATAAATCTGCCATGCCTTACAACGGAAATATTAAGACACTATATAGTACAGTAAAAGTAACCAAATCATGCACAATAGGAGTTGTACCTTTAATTACTACCAAGAAACCTGATGAATGTTTTGTGGTAAATTAATTATGGTACCTGTACTATATTTGCCGGAGTATAAAATGGGGCACTTTTTATATTTTTTAAATATATATAAAAAAATTGCCCTACATCTAATTACGGCCATATGCCGTAATTACGGATGGGACACCTAGTGCCATAGGCTAGGGAGCCGGATGAGCACACTGGGTAAGTTTGCTAGGCATAAAAATCGTTGCTAATAATAAAATATTTAAAACAAGCCAATTATTACAGTAAATTGTATTACTAACAATAAAATACTGAAAAGCCGAGTTATCATAGTCGGGCATCACAAATCAGTTATATCACAAACTTACAAAAAAAAATATTTTTACGATATGTCAGCAGTTATGAAGGAAGTGCACATCTCACCACATACATAACCCACACCCAATATATGTCATACATTAATGCATGTGTTACCTTTAAGAGGGCGCAACTCCATAGTCTCCCGAGACTGAAGGATGCCTACTACTACTACTACCTTTAAGAAACATTTATTCATTACTGTATCTAAAATGAAAAAATTCTCCCAGAAATATAAAAGAAATGTTAAACTTTCATTTGCCTGTCAGCCATTTGCAACAAATGAATGACAACAAAACCAGAGCGTCGGGACGGTGTGCCACCACCAGGTGCGCCGCCCTGGTAGCCAGATGCGGCAACACAAAACATCACATCCAGAAATACAAATTTAAAATCCTGTATAGCAATTCTCTTACCCAAAATATAAACTATACAGGTGATCTTAGGGGAGGTAAGAGTTGGGGTACAAAATCCACTTTAAAATCTTTCAATAAATGGATGATTAAACATACTAAAATAGTTTTTTCCACAAAATATCCTTGTAAAATAGGGGTGCATCCTATGGGAAGGGTGCATCTTTTATGCCGGCAAATACGGTAATTTTTACCAACTTGAATGATGTCATGGATCACAAATTAGTTCACTGGGCAATTCCTAAAATGTAATGCCTATTTTTATGGCTGTTACCTCAATAAGCACGAATGTGCTTCATAGCAATGAATTCAACACGACAGCTTTGCACATATAAATACAGTACAGTATTTGTGTGCTGGTTTGGGGTAGAAAGCAGTCATATTTGATTTAAGATAGGCAGGGGATATTTCAACAGCTCATCATATGGCTTCTGAAGGTAATACCAAGGCTAAACTTTTCTTTCAACAAATATCTAGGTACAGAAAATACAAATTTTTGTTAGGGCGATAAATGTGACAGCAGCTTGTTAGCCTACTGATGTTACTTAAACAAAAAAAATGCACTGTATTATATATTAAAGCATTCTTGTTCTAAAAACTGCACAAGCCTCAAAACATTATCAAATTGTCATAATATTGTATATACAAGTATCATGACAACCCTAACAGTGAATGAAAGTTTGTGGGTTAGGTTTGATTTATTAGGTAAGGCAGCTTCTTTTTCTAGTAGTAAACAGAATCAGATAGCAAGGAGCATTGTGCGAGATCCATTTTTAACACTAGAGTTTTTTTTGGGCAAATGCATAGGTTATATTTTATAAAACTACTTTTTTATATGCAAATGCTGTACATTGCTTACCCTAATAAAACTAACACATTAATCAGTTGTAGTTTCAACCCATTTTTTTATAATTTTCCTATTGTCTATTGCATTAAAACATCATTCTTTTAACAACTTACCTTCACATAGGCCACACTCATCTAAACTTTCTGGATGTGTTAGGTTAGATTAGGTTAAATATAGTTTTTTAAGAGGCTACATAAGCTAGATAAGGACTGGATATGTTAGGTTATTTTAGGTTAGGAGCACATTAGAAAACAGAGAACTTGACCCAAAACTTAGTTTTTGTAAACCGCATTATGCACTCACACTATACAATAAGCTTCACCCACTCAATGAATATCTTGGGTTCTTAGGTTCTAAAATTTGTGTGACCTGCCTTCTGTACAGTGACTGATATGCTATTACAGCATCCAAAACTGTTGACATAACAGAATGTATTATTTTAGCAAATGCTACAGTGAAAACATGCAAAAGAAATGCACCTTTTCCTTGCTAGATAGAAAATTTTAATAAAAATCTCCCGAGTAACTTGAGATGTGTAGCATGTCACCGAGTATGGTTAAAGATTGTTAAATTTTATATTTAATCACCAACTTCAGGTTTTATGGAAGGAGCCAATAATGAGTTATCTACTACAGCTGGTATTATAGAATAAATATTTTACAATTACGCTTAAATCCATGTCAAGCATGATACTTGGTCCAATGTTGGCGACCCATCCTGCTACATCCTTCATGAAAAGGTCTTCACGATTGGCATTTCTGATAGCAATTGAAGCTAATAACTTGAGCAGAATCCTGTCATATTGTGACGCCAAGGATGATTTGTCCTACTTGCGCGATCCAGGGGAGCTCTGGGGGGTTGGAGGCTCTTGACCCCAGTCTTCTCTCTCTCTGGCCAAACCACCTCGTTCGTCCCTATAATTACTTTGAACTTGCAGGACGCAGGTAACCCACCTGCCGTGACTGGTCTTGGCTGCATGGGTAGGGTGTTGCTGCCAGTATGGTTCTGTAAGTCTCTCACACACACAAACAAGGTCACAGTTCCGTTTGTGTCACTGCCCTACTAACAAAACATTCTTCAGTTCCTTCCTTGCTATGGTCTAAGGCTACGTGTACTTTAATGGAGGTGGACTCTTGACGAATACTTACGCTGCCCAACAGGGTACATGAACTCTACAATAGTTGCTAACTTAAGGACGAAACTATGGAAATCTCAGACTTCAAAATGTTGAAAATGGCGTTCTCGACTTCCTGCCTGGAGTAAGACTGAGCCGTTGGTTCCCTCACCTCAACGCTCCCACAATATACATCTTAAAATCTCATATTAACACAAACTCCTAATTTGCTACCGAGTTATATTTGTACGTTTGTACTCAGATATTCACCACTATTGGAATTTCTTATCTGTGGCTTTGGGAAGCGAGATCTAGCTCTTGGGCCTTGGACCTCCCTATATGAAATACCTGCAGATGTTTTGATTATTTCCTGACTTGGTGTTCTCTCATATAATTGTTTTTAAAACATGGAATGATGTGCGTTTCAACTCGTCGCCATCACCATGGTTGCATGTATGTTTCTTTTTTCAGCTTTCAATTAAATATTTATACTTCATGTGGGGATGTCGCTCGATGATTTGAAAGGTAAGGTAATTATCAAGAGAGAGCGCTAAGCCATTGAGACTATATAGCACTTGCGAGAATTTTTTAAAAATATAAGTGTAACAAATGCGTATATAATGCTTCGTGTACAAACTGTAATTTAATTTTGTATTCCAAAGTTCAAGTATGTTGACCAGACCACACACTAGAAGTTGAAGGGACGACGACGTTTCGGTCCGTCTTGGACCATTCTCAAGTCGATTGTGATGAGGAGATTGATTGATTGATGAAGATTAAGCCACCCTAAAGGTCGCACGGGCATGAATAGCCCGTAAGTGGTGGCCCTTTTGAGCCATCACCAGTATCAATTGATGATACTGGAGATCTGTGGAGGTGCGACTGCACCCTGCGTGACGGGAGATGTCTCCCATGTGAATGTGTTAAGATGAAGATGAAGCCACCCAAAAGGTGGCACGGGCATGAATAGCTCATAAGTGGTGGCCCTATTGAGCCATCACCAGTATCAAGAGCTGATACTGGAGATCTGTGGAGGTGCAACTGCACCCTGTGTGACGGGAGATGTCTCCCGTGGTGATGAGGAGGTAGAGACAGGCAATAAATAGGCAAGAGAGGGCTGAGGAGGAAAGTAAGGTGTAGGGGATAGTAGTAATAATGAGTATGTATTATTGAGGTATTATTCAAGTATGTTTATTGAGACAAAAACATCAGCTGTACGCTCAATCGACGCACCAATAAATGTCTATATTCCAAGCGCATGAAATCAATGGTAAAATACTAGAATGCCTGAAAAATGGTTACAACAAAAGAAAGCAAAGCGTCGTGTTAAATGAGTCGTGTTGAATCTGTTAGGACATATGTGGCGAGTAGGGTATCACATTAGGTTTCATTTTGGGGCCAACTCCTTTTTTTGTCAAATTGATCAGTGACATAGATAAGAGTATTATAAATCATATAATTAAATTTGCAGATGAAACTAAGATCTATGGCAAAGTTTGAAGCGAAAACGATACTGAGACTTTGCAAGGATATCTACATGAACTCCACAACTCGTAAAATCAACAATTACACTACCATATATCAGATTGATGAAGAATTAAAGGACTTAGGAGTTTTGACCTACCCTCAGTGTAACTGCATAACAAGTGAGAGCTACAGTAATAAAAAGCCAACCAAACCCAATATAGGAATAGTCAAACAAATCTTTGACTTCAAGGAAAAGAAAGTAGCTATTCAACTGTACAAATCTTTGATCTGTTGAGTGGTACATCTCCATCTGAGCTATTGTATCCAAGCATGGAGACAACCTTCAAAAGGACATATCTGTTTTGGTGAAAGTTCATCACACATTGACAAAAATCATCCCACTACTGTCAACTTTCATACCTGGAACAGTCGAGGGCCTCAGAACTAACAACTCTGCAAACCAGACATGACAGATATCATCATAAGATCTCTAAAATACTGAACATGTTGGAGTATATTAATCCAGACCACTGATTTAAAAGGTTAAATGTATATCATATAACAGCTTCAATCACAACAAGCAACAATGTAAGACAAAAGAGATGCTTTTTCACCCATAGGGTTATAGACACACGAAACTGCTTACCCGCCGAAGCCGTAAATGCCAAGACTTTAAATTCTGCAGTTCAAAATCCAACTGACAAAATCATTAGAATAAATGGGGGGGGGAGGGACTTTTAACAAGCCGCTGGCTTCCAATACCCGTCACTGCCACTAGAAAGATGGTGGCTCTCAGGTAAATTCAGGAAAATATAATTTTCTTGGGTATTATTTACCCTGAGTTCAATGCTCAAGCGGGACAGAAAAGGTTTGGCACGTTTCCTTTCACCTGATGCTTCTGTTCACCTAGCAGTACTTATAAGGAGTTTAGCAACTGTTGTGGGTTGCATCCTGGAAAAGGTCAGCAGTTAGCCTATACCGGGGGACCTCGATAAGTTTAATTATACTGGCTTCCTGTTCCCAACAAAGTGAATTAGTATTAACCATCCTACAATATAGGACAGAAAACATAGTTTTTCACGTATATATAGGTTTATAAACCCATGGAATCGCCTACTCGCCAAAGTCGTAAATGTAACAACATTATTCAACTGGATTTCAAAATCCAGTTAAAAAAATTCCCAAGAGAAATGAGAGATCTGTGATAAGCCGTCGGCTTCCTGTCCCCGTCGAGGTCCCCTAGATGGTGAGCATAAGGTCAATGACTACCTGATATATATATATATATATATATATATATATATATATATATATATATATATATATATATATATACATACACACACATATATATATGTGTGTAAATCACGAAAATTAATACGTGATGAAAAATGTGACAATGTCAGACCACGGAGGAAGAATTGAAACAGGAATTTTCTTCAGTACTTTCGTATATTAATACATCTTCAGAAGGAATGATTTACAGGTCGATTGATTGATAAAGATTAAGCCACCCAAGAGGTAGCACTGGCATGAATAGCCCGTAAGTGGTGGCCCTTTTGAGCCATCACCAGTATCAATAGATGATACTGGAGATCTGTGGAGGAGCGACTGCACCCTGCGTGACGGGAGATGTCTCCCGTGTTTACAGGTCTTGATTGATTGATTGATGAAGATTAAGCCACCCAAGAGGTGGCACGGGCATGAATAGCCCGTAAGTGGTGGCCCTTTTGAGCCATTACCAGTATCAAAAGATGATACTGGAGATCTGTGGAGGCGCAACTGCACCCTGCGTGACGGGAGATGTCTCCCGGACCAAATGGTGACCAAATGGTGTTTACAGATCAAGTATTGGACATATACATAGGCAGGAGAGAGAGGTGAAGTGAAGTGAGGTACAATGAAAAATGAATGGTAATTAAGTGGACACAAATATGAGCCGCATAAGAACTGCAAACCCTTACGGGTTCACCATAGCCCGTGCTACATGGACACTTCGTATTCTGAGTAGCTAAATCTAAAACAACAACAGAATTAAGGCAGTTCTGAAGTCAGAACTGCAGAAGGCCTATTGGCCCATATGATGCAGCTCCTATTCTTACCCACCAAGAGGCCCACACATGGATAATAATAGTATAAGATGGTAAATATTTACAATGAATTAGTGAGACAAATGTGTATCAATGATCCTACTCAAATTGCCCTTTAATTGATCTATCAAAAATGGATCTAAGTTATATAAACCACTGTTAATGTTCAAATTACTTTCTTTTGTGATATGTATTAAAGCAGATTCAATTATGTTCCTGTTATAAGTGCATATTATTATCCATGTGTGGGCCTATTGTTGGGTAAGAATAGGAGCTGCATCGTATGGGCTAATAGGCCTTCTGCAGTTCTTTGCGGCTCATATCTGTGCTGCTTTATAAATTAACAACTGTATGGGGATATTAGGTGAACTTATAGCTAGTTTTTTATTTACACTGTGTAATCTTTCACATATAATAGGGTAGCAGCACATTGTTCTGTTTACCTAAGCTTGTTAATACAAAGCAAACAATGGAACTAGACAAAATATAAGCGAATATTTAGTATCATCAATTTAGTATTGTATCTCCATGTATATATATATATAACTAAATAAATAAATATGGGTTTTATAGAAGGGAGGGTAATTGGGGGGGGGGGGTGTTGACGGGATGGTACCAGGGGGGGTCGTAGAGGGGGGAAGAAATTCAATATGGCACTACCTTACACGTTCCAAGGAACCTTCACCAGAAGTGCCGGGCTCTACGCAGCCCTGGGCAAGCAGAGCAAGCTGCTTAACCTCACTCCGGTCAAGAAGATAACCTTCTCCTTCGACCCCCTGGAAGAAAAGGCCATTGTTGTGAGGTAAATCCATGTAGAGGAAACCAAAGTGTGTGTGTGTGTGCTTGCGTGGGGCACCCAAGTGTAGGCTGGGAGGGTGTTACAGGGTGCCTGGTGAGAGCCTAAATGCCATCACCATTATAAATAATGATACACTGGCAAGAGTTGTAGTTGTGTTAGTTGTAGCTACTGTCATAGCCACTAGACTATGGGTTATGGCTTCTGTACCCGTTACCCGGGAATTATTGACTCCGAGCTTCACTCCAGCCTCGAGCATGTAATAATAATAATAATTTATTTAGGAACAGTACATACATAGTTGCAGAGACAGGTTGCTCCTAGATATTTCTACAATTTTGTAGAAATAAAATGTAAAAACCACAATACTGTACAATGGTATTGACAGATAAAATATAATTAGGATGCATATAGTTATTGACTCGAGTACAATGATGTAATATATACAGTAGTCTGGGCTTCATAAAAACAATGCAACATATCCTAATGTTCACAAACTTGATCAAATGCACAAAGCAGTTTGACTGTCAGTTTTTGGTAAACTCTTTATTATATGATAGTTATGCTTGTATATAACTATGTATTAGAAGTAAACACCAAATATATAATATTAACAAAGATTTTGGGAGCCACTTGCCTGTGCCCGCATTTCTTGCATTAAAGTATTTTTGGTGCTCAGTATACTTATGCACCAGTTTGTATTCACAACTCTTCTCACCTTCAAAGCCTTGAATTAATCACATCAAGCATTATAATTTGTTGATCAAACCACACACTAGAAAGTGAAGGGACGACAACATTTTGGTCCGTCCTGGACTATTTTCAAGTTGATTGTGAGAATTCTCACAATCGACTTGAGAATGGTCCAGGACGGACTGAAACGTCGTCGTCCCTTCACTTTCTAGTGTGTGGTTTGGTCAACATATTTCAGCCACGTTATTGTGACTCCTCGTCTGCATTATAATTTGCTATATGGTACTGGTAAATAAATAATATGAATGAACATGATATCAGCATTATATCAAAGTTTCCCTGTAAAATTGAACTACTGACCTCCGAAAATAAGCTGACTAACTACTGGGTATCTATTTACTACTAGGTGAACAGGGCCATTAAGTGATAGGAAACCTGAACTTGTTAATAATAATAATAATAATAATTTTTATTTAGGCAAAGGTACATACATAAAGAGATTTTACAAAGTTTGTTGGCTTTATAGATAGAGCTAGTACATACAATGCCTAAAGCCACTATTACGCAAAGCGTTTCGGGCAGGAAAAAACACTACTGACTAAAGCTTAAAACTAATGGGTAAAAAGAAAAAAATGCGTTGAGTACAAATAAAAATAGAGGTAAAAGAGGGGGGAACATTGTTGAAAAAACAGCACAAATACAATTACAAATTATTACAGAAAATTACATTAAAACAGTGTTGATTTGAAAAACAAAAAAAAAACAAGACATACATGGGTTGACAATAGAGGGGTAAGGTAGGTTACAGGGAATTTATTAGGTATAGCTTCGTTTTTAACTTAAACTGGTTGAGAGAGGTACTGTCTTTAACATGGTTGGGAAGGTCATTCCACATTCTGGGCCCCTTGATTTGTAGAGCATTTCTGGTTTGATTAAGTCGTACTCTAGGAATATCAAAACTGTATTTATTTCTGGTGTGGTGCTCATGGGTTCTGTTACAATCTTCTATGAAGCTTTTGAGATCAGGATTGGCATTACAGTTTAGCATTTTATATATGTATAATACACATACATTCTGTGTATAATAATAATAACATCATAATAACGGGAATAATAACATCAAATCTGTCTGTCTATATATAGTACAACCATCATAAAAATATATTTATATATAGCAAGTGTCTTCCTTTTATTAATGTTTTACATATTCATAAATACTGTAACTTTTTTTTAATGGGATATAAGTATATAATTAATTATATAATAATTATATAGTTATATATAATTATAGTATATAAGTAATTATTAAAATATTGTGTAAATAAGGGGGGACAGTGACAGAAATGGAGCACCTTATCCAGACTTAAGAATAGCTTGCATCTGAAAAGCTTGTTTTGGAGTGGAGTGAGACATCAATAAAAGGATTAAAAAATTGACACTTACACTTATGCATGGGATAATTAATTTCTAAATAAATTTATTTCCATACAGTTCCTTATAGTATATATATAAGGAACCTTATATAATATTAAGATTAATATATAATCTTATATATTGCCCCATGCATATCTCATTATATATATTTAAAAAAAAAGTACAGTATTCAGTATTTCCAACTTCAAGAGTATATTTCAATTGTCTGTAATTGCATTTTACTTTCATTTCCAATAATACTGTGGTGTCTAATCTTAATTTGTTTTTCCTCAGGCGCCTGCTGAATTTCTTTTATATAGAGAGAGTTCGGGAAACCAATCTGAATTGCATGTTGAAGACTAATGTATTGTCTACAAGAGCTGACCCTACTGTAGAAGTCAATCTTGGTAGGTTTAAATGTGAAATGTGATCGGTATCATTTACAGAATACTATCCCCAGGAACCTATTGAATATTTCCTGATCTCTATATTGTACTTCTTTGTACAATAAGTTTATATATTTTTTATTTCTGGAGGAGTACATACAACTCTGTATGTACTGTTATAAAATAGTACCTACAGTATATTATATGTACTGAGGTAGTTATTTGAAACTGTCATTATATCTTAAGAAAACATTTGATTTTTCATAATTTACTTTTAAAGTTTTTAATATGCATTGTAATGGAAGAACTAACTGAAATTTATTTTTTAAAGTAAAATTGCATACCTAGTACAGTATACTGCATATACAGTACAGTACTTATATATGGACATTACAGTATTTAACCCTAGAAATGAGTGCCTGGTATTTAGTGATTAGATTGATATACAGATCATGGTGAATATTTTGACTATACTGTATATGTATAGAGTATTTATAAACACAATCGACAGCATATATATTGATGTATTATAGTAAGTAATTAATGAGGTAGTCAGGACAGTATTGACTGCGAGGCAAGGTCGTCATCACGATGCTTTAAAAGACTATGAGCCAAGAAGCAGGGAGGCCTGATGTTCGTTGATTGCACGATATTTTGTTTGTAAGCATGGTGTCATGCTTGTGTAGCTTTGCAGTATTCTAACCATTATTCTCAATTTTATTGTAATGTGTTCAGTGTTCTTTGAACTATAGTTAATTTAAATCTTTCATTTCAGTGGATGGTAGAACACTACTCTTCCAAGCGAAGCATCTGGAGCCCTTAGAAATACTTACACATTTCAATAAACTAGTAAGCAGCCAAGTTAAATTGGATGTGGCAACAGAAAAGTTATCTAAAGGAAAACTAACAAAATCTCAAAAGAAAAAATAAAGAACAATTGAAAATTGACCCTGTACTGTATATATTTTTTAGATTTGATTGTGTATCACTTTAATTCAACTGCCAAGAAAAATATTTAGGAAGAGTGAGTTATTGGAAATTTTCTAATATAGTTTTGCCTTAAATCTTAAGGTATTAACCAAGTCATCATGTCCACCCAGGCTCAGCGCAAATATGAAGCCACCCTTAGCATTGTCAACAAGGTGTATGACAGTGTGCCAGCTTTCACAGATGTTTTTGATGAAGAATCTTGGTACATATTTGCTGGATGCTTTACAGCAGCCACGCTCATCTTGACAATAGTTGCATCAAGATTTATTACTCTAAAGCCTGTAGATTGAGTCACCTATAATGGGTTGACTTGCATTCATGAATAAAGCATGCTATTCTCCATATAACCTGAACCTTGATTTAATTATTTGAGCAATGTGCTAGAAAACCTTTTGATTCTTTGCCATCCATCACATCCAATTGGTTTACTTCATGTACTGTATATGGATTGAATATAGCTGATAAACATGGGTAACTGTAGTTTGTAATATTGTACTGTACTATGTAAGATAATAAGATAGGCAGCTAAACCTTTTAATTTCATGATCATTAGAAAAAACTTTGAAATTTCAGTACAGTACCTGTACCAGGATCTCATTAAGTGAATATCATTTAACTGATGACAATGCACATTGTTTTAGTGCAATAAAATTATATTTATACGTGCATCACATTATTATATATGTGGAGTCCATAAATGTATGTGTATATATCAGATGCTTAAATTTAAAATTCAGAAATTTAGTGTTGTCATTAGCACATTATATATGGATAGTATGTTATTGTTAATACATTGGGGTGGTAAATGCATTTTCCACTCTCTCCTGCCCTTGGAAGTCTTACCATTACCCTGTTTCCTACTTTCACTGGGTAGGGAGTAATATGACACAGAATATGGATGTATTATTTGAAAGAGAGGGCTAAAGATATTTTGGATGACCCTTGGTACTATCACATTAACATGGTACAGTATAGAAAAATATCCTTGGTGGCCTTTTGGTCATTTCAAAAGACCACTGTTATAAAGTATTGGTACTAATTGTGATATCAAATTATCAAGTTTTCAGGCTCTTAAAAACTACCACCGTAATGTTCATTGCTGCTTTGCATGCATACCAATTTTTCCATGATTGCTCACAATATTGATTCACCCGCACTTGAGTCTTCTCCTTTTTTTTTTTCTTTCTCATTAATATACTTTACTTTATTATTGCTTCCAAATGACTTTACTATTATGGCACACATATTAGGATGCCTTCACTTGCCTCATAATTCCATTACATAACCATTCTTTATTTATTCAATACCACACATCCTTCTCAGGTTTTCATCTCAACTGCTCTAACTCATGATATTCAGTTTGGGCCAAACCAGTTTCATGCCCATGCATTAGAATTAGAACAGTCCTTTAGTGTCATTCATTTTTATCAGTACTTTTATTTTCCCACTTTCCATTCAACCTCATTCAAAGTCCTCTGGCATCATTCACATATCCTAAGTTTTAAAACTTAACAACTTCAAAGTAATGTATCTTTCCATTCATGGCAATGTCTTATTTTGTTTATTGGTTGGAACTTTTGTAGCTCGTGTTGGTGCTCCATAGCCTTTCCGGTTTGGTGCCTTCTATTGATAATTACTTGTAGCTCATGTCTTGCAAATACATGTAAATTAGAAATATTAACAGCTAATGTAAAGAAAAGAAAAATTGAGGCTATGCAAAATGCACCAACTTTTTTTTGCTTTGTTGGATTTGATCACAATTTAGGTCCCAGGTCGAACACCAGCTGGTGAGTTATTCGAAGCAATTTCTTCATTGAGTTTTGCTTCCTGTAACTATTTTCTCCTTCCCATGGATTTCTGCTCTCGTATTGGGATCCTGAATAATGTCTAGGAAGTTTTGAATATTCTGCAACAGTCCTATAAAACTATCTGGGCTCAGTGCTTTCTTTTGATATGTAATTACTTGCTCGCTATCAGATAGTATTTTATACAGTACATGCTTGGAAAGTTTAATTATTACCTATTAAATTAATTGGCCACAAGCCATTGATTTGTTATTAGAGATATGTTAAGTATCCTACTTGCTTTTTATTGTATACTGGTATCACTTTGTGATTGAACATTTCCTGCTGGTATACTTAAGTTTCCATTTTGTTTTATCCACAAGATATTGGGAAATTACCCTCATGTATGTTTTATCCACAAGATATTGGGAAATTACCCTCATGTATGTTTTATCCACAAGATATTGGGAAATCACCCTCGTGTATGGCTTGAAACTTTAAAAAGACCTATGTCAAGAAATACGAAGTTGGTGCTTTCGATGAATATCTAGTAAAGTACAGTAATTGACATTGTTGCTACATAGGCCTCATGGCTCGGTGCATTTATATCAATTTCTATAAGAATCTGATAATTTCCTGTAGCTGCTGCAAAATTTCTATACATCCTGATGATAGGGGATAACTGGCATAATCTTGGCAGCAAATGATATACTATTCATGTACAGTACTCCTTAAAGCACCTTGTATTACATCCCTTGTACTAATTGCACCACTGTTCGTATGTTTAAAGTACACTTGGTTACCTTTGAGCTTTGAAAAAATAGAACATTTGTTATCTCTGTTCAGGCACGATAAACACTGTTGTTGAAATGTGGGGATAGAATATTAAAACCTAATTAAGCATGACTGGGTATATATCATAATGGATTGGCATACATTATATTTAACTTTGACATCATTCAATTTATATGTAATTAATAGAAAAGCATATGAAATCTTTATATACAAGAATTTATTTTTGAGAGGTGCTCCATACAGTAATGTTCCTTCAGGTCTTGTGTATCAGATTATAAAATTACATGTATAAAACTACATTAAAACCTGTATAAGTTGTTACCTGAAATTACCTTGTTGACAATTTAAAAAATTGCCTTTTTGAAGCTTTGGATCTCATTTATTCCTCCTATACCTGTATATTCCTTACACCTAATGTTTAGTATTTTTCTTAGTTCATGTGATTCTCCCCTTTAAAACTTTACTACTTTGTGTATTTTAGCCGACGGTGTGTTTGCACTTAAATTGAAGGTTGTTTTGGACAACACTAGTTTTGTCTTCTGGCTCTCATATTGGCATCTTAGATATCAATTAAGACTTTTTGACTTTTGCACCACAGATGATGCTTAAATCCTCCAGGCTTGGTGTCATCTTTTGATATTTACTTGGACACTATTTAAAGATAGGGCTGATTAGATTGTCATGGTATAAAATAATAGGGTGCTTTATAGGGTAAGTAATTGTTAAAGGAAGGTACCAAGACTGTAGCACCAACTGTCAATGGATATTCAAAAGGTGTTAAATATCACTAGATGCCAGTACTATAACAAAAAAAACAATGCAAGCAATATCAAAGGTATCGGACTCGTCAGGGATTCTGCATCAGAACAAATGACCCCTAGTGACATTAGGAAAGCAAGACATAAGGTCATCCTGAAAATCAGGACATTCAACAAGGTGATGCACAACTAAGTTGGACAATGCAGTTCAAACAAAAGTGGAACAGGAAGCTCCATTAATTGAGCACGAGTTAAATGGGTGTGATCAATACACAACCTAGCCAAAGCAGTTTCCCATAACATTTATTATGGTGACAGGAGGAAGGCTAAGAGGGAAGGTCACTTAAGAGCATGCAGTTTATTCCCTGTAATGCTCACCCAACAATCCTGCCACCGGTTGTGGATAGTAGAATGACTGGGTACAAATCTGAATAAGGATTTTTTTTTTTAAGGAAATGTTGCAAGCACGAATTGCCTATTTAGTGGTAGATCCGCAAGTTTACTTATGGTAACTTCGATATGGCTGGGAACTGCAAAATTTCACTCATATTTGCCAGAGATAACAAACAGCCAGCATTGGATTTCAACCATCACAGGATGCAAAGAAAAAGACTGGATCCACAAGAGCACTGCAAAAGTCAACCACAATGACAGGAACAAAGACAGAAAGAACAGCTAATGAAGAGCATACAATATTGTGGTATGTTCTGCAATGAGGATGCTAGGCTCTGGGAGCAGGTGGTATATATGGGAGTGATCAGAAAGAGAAATGGCAAAGCCACAGAAATAAGTACAGGAGGAAAAATGTTCATGGAAAGGGTTTTCCAAACAGTTGGGAAATTATCAACCATCATCATGTGGGGGCTGATAGTGATGAACAAAACGCTGAAAAGCCAAGGGAGTAACCCAGTATGGTGCAGAACATAGCACCAATAAGGGATTGAGGAAAAGGCCAAGGAATATGAGGAGGCCATAAGTTTAGACAGCTTTATAGGATAAGTTAAACAACAAATGTGTGTGTGTGCGCTCACCTAGTTGTGCTTGAGCTCTTTGGTCCTGCCTCTCAACAGTCAATCTGCAGTAGGATATTACAGGTGTACAGATTTCTGAGCTTCTCGAGATGTATCATATCTCCATTTGAAACTGTGTATGGAGTCAGCATCCACCACATCACTTCCTAGTAATGTCCTGTGTGTGTGTGTGTGTGTAATTACCTAAGTGTAATTACCTAAGTGTATTTACAGGATGAGAGCTACGCATGTAGTGTGTGTGTATATATATGTGTGTGTGTGTGTGTGTGTGCGTATATATATATATATATATATATATATATATATATATATATATATATATATATATATATATATATATATATATATATATACTGTAGCTATGTAATAAAATAAAATAAATAATATAAAAAAATAGGGGTGGTAGGAGAAGAAAATATTAGTGTTCAGTAAGAATCCACATGGTCTTCTCCGAATACATACTCTTTATTTTCTTCTTTGAGGCATTGGGTCCCTACAATTGCACCAATTGCACACACACCCATATATATATATGTGTGTGTGTGTGTATATATATATATATATATATATTAGTCAATTCTTAAGGCTGCAAACTTAAATCTCAATAGGTGGACGTTAAAATTTCTGTATTGAAATACAAATGTATACGTATTAACTTTTGTAGACAAAATCACAAATTTTGTACATTTGTAACCTTTGTGTAAAAAATGTAATCATTTAAGAATTATTTAATTGTTATGCATAAGTAACAACATATTGCATATGTAAAAATTTACATAAAATAACAAACTTAATACATATGGCATACTTGATAAAAAAAAAAATTGATATGTACAGAAAAGCAGACAATAGAAAATAAATATGCATAGATGAAAAAAATACACATATAATGTACTGTATATACACATTTCTTAATCCTTAACTTGCCAAACAAATAATAAGTTACCCCAATCCTGATTTTCTGTTTATAAAACTATAAGAGTAATTAGAATTGTAAGGAACAAAATTCTAAATATAAATAATTTTACATTTAAATTATTTATATTTCAATTAAAGGCAACGTACACACTTTGTCACAGATCACATATATACAGTTGCAGCAGTCAGTGAAAATACATTTTCACTCGGTTATTCTGATAAAAGAAATTTTGCTTCTAAAAAACTTTATATCTTAACACTTTCGCTCACCCCGCGCGCCACCCCTCGACAGGGCGATATGGGCCCCAGCATGTCACGGAAGCGCGCGTTAATTCCGAAAAGTGTATACTCTCTTCAACTTTGTCACCTCAATTCTCCTTCTACGAGATTAAATTTGGTATCATTGTGTTCGCAATAAAATTCTCTACAGCACTAAATGCATATAAACTCCAAAAGCCCGGCTAATTACCCGCAGCAGAGAAAGTGTGAACGAGTTACCCGGGAGCGCGGAAACGGGATAAAATGTTTTCACTATTTTCACTCTGGTCACCTCAATTTTTGTCCTAGGTCTTTCATTTTGGTCTCAATGGGTTCGTAATAAAATTCTCCAGAGGAACATTAGCATATAAAAAAAAAAACCTGGTCACGCTCCAACCGCCGACGAGTTGAAGACGGGCCATGCGTTAGCCATGAGTGAGCGCTCAGAGGCCTTCCTGCTACACTCCCAATTCCCACCCTTTTCAAGCCTTTCTTTCGCAATTTTCTTCCTGGAAGGGCCTTGTTCATGATTACTATCCATCGTGGAGTAAGCGTAGATAGTTTCTAAAGCCGCAGTAAGAAATATAGCCACGGAAAATAGCCGAAATGTTCACACGTTTGAGATGCGAGGGGAGGCGACATTGGTCACAACAGTGGGGCAAAGACAATGGGCCCACGGCGTGTGCCAAGCCGCCTGAGGGCCACGAGGCTCAACAAAGAAAATGGGAAGACATCGGCGCACATTTTAAAACCAGTCCCCAAAAAATCGGATAAAAACCTGATTTTTGGCGAATTTTTAAAGTGGATGACGCAATGCTGCGTCATCCCCGGCATTACCGCCAGTAAACGGATGACGCAATGCTGCGTCATCTCCGAGCGAAAGTGTTAAGTCCATTTTCCCATATATAGTATAATGGCATGTGCACTCCTGGCAGTGATTTTGCCAGGATGGTTGAGCGTGTGAAGTGCAAACTATACTTCACTGGTTTATCAACGTTTTAGGGATGATGGCCAGAAGTATGATGACTTCTGACATGAAACTACACCTCACAAATTTTGGCATCAGAAAAATCCAAAGTATCACTAAATTATTATTCATGGCAGTTTAAGGACTAAAACACAACTGAAAAGCCTACGTTAATAAATAAACATCATACATATACTGAATAAATTAAAAATACATATTTGTTTTCAACTCTTAAGACTATCTTATCAATATTTATAAATAATCATATGAAATGTCTTGTCTAAATTAAGAAATTTAAGATTGCTCAATAATAGTTATTCCTCTGTATGAAAATGATGGTCATGCTTCAGCTCTGTAATAATAAAGGAAATGGGCTAATTTAACTCTGCATATGTGCTGAGCAAGTGCAACTGCTGAACTATGTGGAAGGCCAAGATGTTGTACTAAAGTAGGAAGGTTGAGTAGTAAGAAAGCACGTCCATCAATCTCTTGTTCCCGCAATCTGACTGCATGATGACAAATTGTAGGCTGGCTTGCAACATACTGCTCAACATCGTGTACAGTCCATTCTAGTGGATCAGATGTAACAGCTGCAGGTTCTAGCCCAGAATTTGTATCTGGATATTCATTTTTTCGATCTCTTCTCATTCGCTCTTTACGCTCTAAGGGTTCTTCACGGCAACTTGAAGCACTAGATGATGCTTCTCCTACTTCATATTTCTTTTTTACATGTCTCATCTTCATTTGAGATGCATAGTCAGGCAATTTAATTCCTCTAGTCTGCATTTCAAGCCGTGGGAACACTCTTCGTCGACGTCTACTGGTAAGGCCATGTTCTAAGAGGGGGCTCGTGGGACGTGAACTACGAGAGCTTGTATCACCTTCATCAGAACCACTTACAACATCATCATCATCATCACCTTCAATTTCAACATCTTCCTCCTCTTCAACATCCTCTGATATATCATCTGATGGAGCTGCAACAAATATACAAAGTTAATTTTATTACTTAAAAATGATTCCTCTCCCTTGGGTGCTTATTGTCTGATCCAAACAACCTTTCATAACATGGTCCATTAAGCATACATATTATGTTTCTTCTATTTTGGATGTTGGTTACCTTCCACTAACCAATTCTGTTTACTTTGTATGCCACAAAAATATATTTTTTATAACTAATTTTAGTTTTTCCTTCAAGTCACATATATTCTAGGCATATTCTACCCATCCTCTAAAAATTATAAAAAAAGTTCACAAGGCAATTAATGTTATCAATCAATACATTACTTACTGTTGGTGTTAGGTCTAAGTTACATTCATCATGTTGGGAAAGAAATCTACCCTTGAGTAATAATATATGAAAAATTGCATTTCTGAGTTGATTATTCAGCTCCTATCTTAGGTAGTAACAGTCCCCATGGTGCAGTGATGCCATGGGCACCAATCCTTAACTGTAGCCTTTCTTCATCCAGCAGTGAATGGGTACCTGGATGTTAAACGATTTGGCGGGTCATATTCCAAGGAAAAATTAGGATTAAGGACCTGCTCGAAACGCTATGCGTGTTAGTAGTTAAAAGAATGTAAGAATTCTTGTATATATAAATAAATAAAAATAAAAAGGTATGTAAGATACATTATGTGCAAAGGACAGGATCATACACAGATAAAGTAATGTACTAGCACCAGCAACACAATAAACTGCAGGGGTCATAATAGTACTAAGGAGTCAAGGAGTCACTGAAGAACATTCAACCTATCTTGGAGTAACTGTCAGTATTTATTTATAATATTCAAAGCCCTTCCACATTCCTCCTTAAATATCACAAGTGACAACAATGTGAGGGTTTCTACTGTCTGTTGTTGGCTTGCTTGGGTTCCTTCAGAAACTGCAATCAGGTGGTTGAACACACCTCCATGTCCCTACACCTAAACCATTCCATATATGCCGTCATACAAGGAAGGATATTGACCACAGGAAAAGTAGGAAACCAAAGGTTTCCTACTTTTTGGCAGAAACAGCCAAATGGTCCACTATGAAAGGTGCTATTTATATATCTCAAGACTTGTTTCTGAGTTATCTCAATTGCCTGCTACTAAAGTTAAGAATCTAAAATGGAAGAAACATGGGATAGACAAATGGACAAACTCATCTATGCTGCAGAGGGCACTTGAAGGTTGCTTTACAGTGAAGAACACACCACCTGGCATGAGATAACCAGGGGAAAGAATCATTACTGACAGAACCACTCGGTGAGGAGGGATCCTGTACAAAGCCACATGCTTGAGGTAAAAGCAGGGGATCTTACAATGTTTCATTTTGCCAAAGATTTTCATACTGCTACTTTATAAGTTACATCACCCAACAAATCATTGAACATGAAATACCAAGAAGAAAGTGTTAAACAGACAAGTACAACTCTACTTGAATGGATTTATTTGTGTTACACCATGAATTTTAGCAGGAAATGTTGCAGTGGAAGGTCTGCAGTAATTCCTATCTTTGCTGCTTTTCATTATTTTTGTACCACAATTATTATGATTACAGTATTAAAGCAATAGAACAAATTTTTGGGCATGTTTTGATACCAAAATCACATAGAAATACAGCATGGTAAGTATACTATACTTTATTCTGAAATAATTTGTTGAATCTTAATTACTGACTTCCAAGCATAACTATAATCCTGCAAGGACCTGCTTACAAGTTTTCTGTATTTTGTTTACAGCTGCCTGACAAAACTGTCAGGCAGCTATATGTTGTTCTGCCTGACAATGTATGATCCTGCTTATTGGACACAACAGATGTTACTTACCTTAAGAAATGAGGTATGTAGTTCAGAAAAAGCATTTGTTTCAGTGCCTTACATATGTAGTAGTTTAGAGTAAATTAATAGCATTATAAACTTTCACAGTGTTTTAGTTATTCTGTTTTTATTATATAAATCATTGAAGATAAACTTACTCGTCAGTGATTTAGTTTGTAAGAGGCGGTTTGCTCGTACAGGTACAAACAGACGCTTTCGACCACCCCTCTTACGCCGATGAATAATTCTTGATGTTCCTGGACCACCTCTGACACCCTTGTTTATGGAGATTCTTCCCCGACCTCGGGGACATGATGATGGATTGCCTTGAATTGTCATCTGTTGACATATACTGTATTATACAAAGAAATCACACTAACATGATGTATCAATGAGAAAATCAATTGGAGCAATGCAGCGACTCAAACCAGTGATCTGGGTACTCCCAGTCGCACACTTTACCCCCTGTACATGACATGGTAAAGATGTCGTGTAAAGGTTTCTCAAATCTGGAATTCCACTGAATTCACAGGACATTTGGAGGCCCCTATTGAAACCAGTTTACATTTTTTACATATAAACCCCCCATGCACTCTGATGTAAAAAAAAAAAAAAAAAAAAAAAAAAAAAAAAAAAAAAAACATGCACTCTGATGTAGGTTAAAAAAAAAAAAAAAAAAAAAAAAAAAAAAAAAAAAAAAAAAAAAGAGTTCATCAACCATATGCTACCTTCAAATACACAAAGAAATCACATTAATGTGATATATCAATGAGAAAATCAATTGGAACATTGAGAGGACTTGAAAACACATGTTTGTGTGATTTCCTTGTGTATTTGAAGAGAGCATTTGGTTGATGAACTCTTTTACCTACACCAGAGTGCATGGGGATTATATGTAAAAACGTAGAGTAGCTTCAGTAGGAGCCTCCACACATCCTGTGGATTCAGTGGAATCTGATGCTGTATAACCTTCACCATGTCATGGTACAGGGGTAAGGTGTGCAGCTGGGAGTACCCAGACTGCTGGTTCATGTCACCACATTGCTCCAATTGATTTTATCATATACAGTACTGTATTACAATATCATATTCCCAAAATGTACTGCTTATTTAAAATTACAAATTGCAAAGTTTTAAGAATGCAAATTTCATAGATAAGCTTAGAAATTTTTAACATATATAGTACAGCCAGTGCTTGCAAAATACACTTCTACAGTACGGGACCAAGTACTTGTTGCTAAGTCTCGAAGTTGCTAAGTTTCATTAACCTAATTACAGCACTATGTAGTTTAATTCAGATATTGTAGTTGAATTCTAAGAGGCATAAAATAGTAACAAATGGTTAGTGTCCATTAGTCTACCAAAATTATTTCTATACAAGAAGTTACAAGCCTACATTAACCTCTCATGACAAAACTTACTTGAGATGTGCAGATCAAAGGACAATTTTCTCCAGTCAGTGAATGTGACCACAGATTCGGGCAACACTGTAAAGTCTGGCAAATGGAGTATAAGAAGTCACTTATATCATTTGCTGTAGTGGCCACCGGAATATTTGCCGTATATGTATACCTTTTGAATCTTAAAAAGAGAGAAATAAGAAATGTAATCTATAAAGCTGGTTCAGTCAAGGTGTTGGTGAGTACTATTTTACAAAAACAATCTTTTGGTTAATTTATTAATATTATGGCACACCTATATAATTTATGGATTACAAACCTCGTACAGAAAATTTAAAAGATGGAATGCACATCAGCCATTTTAAAGTTAATGAGAAAATTTCTGCATTAAAACAAAAATGCAAATGCAAAAGAGAAAGGATTTTAAGGTTTAACAGTGTAAATGGAATCAGTTTGGATAGCAGAACTTACTTTGCTTTAAATGGTGTGAGATGCCAAGTCGAACAGACATGTTGTGGATCAGGACCATTGCGTTCCAGTTCCCTTAGAACTCGTGTTGGTATGTACGCTGCATTGATGGTCATTGAGAGTACTTCACGTAGCACCAGTTCTACTGACCCTGGACCTACACTCTGAGACTGCTTTGCTAAAAATAGATGCATAAATTTTTGTTGATTTTATAAAGCACCTCTCAATTTAAGAAAATAAATCATACATACTCAACTAAAAAATCTAAATGATAATTTGATTATGAACTAGATATGTTTTATCATAGCTGTTCATCAGAAGAGGGATGAATTATATATACCACCATGTACAGTACTGTACCATAACACTCATTGTGGCTCTTTTTTTAATAGAACATAACCACATGGAATTAAATGCATGCAAGAGCGTAGCTCTCATCCTGTAACTACACTTAGGTAATTACTAGTACAGTAACTGTAAACCATAAAAATATTGAGTTCTGAGACATATTCCATTCTGAAAAGAAGAGAGTACACTGAGCGCATTGAAAACATGCGCCTCACTGACATAAGGTACATGAAGAGCTATACTACCCATAATTATTAAGAATTCCAATTGTACTATTATATAATTACAGTTGCCAAAATACATTCAAAATGTTAAAACATAATAATTATTAATTTTTAAATTTTCATGACCAAAGTAATTTTATGACTTGCAGTATAAAGGAATAAAAACACACTCTTACCAACTTTAGATTTACTGAGATAAGGACCGGTGTAGCACCAGTGATTCACATACAGTCTAGGGCACCAGAGAGACCGCTGGCTTCCTCCCCCACTCAAAACTGATTCCGTAGTCTGTAAATTCTCATTATTTGTCTCTTGGCTCATTTCCTGAAATTAAAACAATGAAAATTATATTTTTAGGAGGAAAATTCCTACACAGCAAATGTTAAAATAAAATTAGCCGATGAAAGCCATCATTCTGAACATTTTAATAGGGTAATACAGTCATAAGCTAACGTGTTAGGTGAAAACTTGTATAATTTTACTTGACCACCAAAAAATACTTCACATCATAAAATGATTACATCATCACATCATTATGATCACACATTGCTAATTGCATTAAAACAGTGCTCTAAAATATCTTTAATCATATTAATAAAAAGAAAAATGAAAATACCACTGGATGTAAATTTAGTGTGTATATGAACTCTTCATTATGTTCTGTTCTCTAATTAAAAGTGAACTACAGTACTTCTGTATTCTTGCAGCCCTAAATTGTTAATACAGTACTGTATTTGAAAAGAATAAACAAACCCCATAAACCAAAAACCAAATACAGAAATATGAATTATCAAAACTCACCGACGTTGAATTTTCATGACTTGTCGCTCGAGGAAAATATTCTGCTGGCAACTGAAGTTGATAATTGTTGGTCTGACACCATCCCGTTGGAAAAATATCCTGACTTGTTGATGCTAGAATTACTGGCTTTGAGTCTGGTACTGAGTCAAGCTGGACCACCAACAAATGTTTACATGTCTGTTTAACAGTTGCTGCACAAATTTGATTGGGGGCAAGTGGATTTACGGCTTCTAATCTCATCTCAGGTAAAAAGCCTTGGTCTTCTGAGGATTCATAATTTGGGAACATCTCGCATTCAGTGCACAAAGATGAAGATGAATTCAAGAAAATATCCCAGTCAAATTTTGCTTCACTTAGCCAATCTTTAGGCACTTCTAAAATCAAATTATTATCTTTACAAAATCCACATGGCAATATCAATGGATCATTTATGTGTGTAACCCAGGAAACTTCTTCATCTGATGTATTAGAATCAATAACTATTCTGAAGAAATAGGAATTAATTATCTCAGATATTCTGCCAACGTGCACAGAGTATGGTTTGAAAGGATGCACTGTCTCTAATAACATTCCAGCTTTGAAGTGATGAATATCAGGAGTCAGCTTGGGGGCCAGGAGAGAGACCGGTATAGGTGAGTGTCTTGCATCATCACGGCTCAGTTCCAAGAGAGCAGCCCATTCTGCATATTCATATGCTGAAGATGACTCTGGGTGGCTGTATCTGATTAAAATATAATGCAAAATTATTATATATGAACATTCTTTGGCTTTTCTGTCTAAATGTCAGTGCTTCATGTTTTATTTGGCATCCCATACCAATCCAGTGGGTGGTGGTGGATAATGATAGAAATGGATTTTGGGAACTAGATATACATTAAAGCTATATCCAGAGTTATATAATTAGGGATGGACCCTTGTTTGGGGATAAAACAAGGGTCCATTCATAATTATAACAAACCTGTACAATACTGTAATTTTAGTTTGTAGAAACTCGATAAACGACGGGTAATAAATATCTCAATTAGTAAGTACAGAAATTAAAAAAAAAATGGAAATTGAGAAGTTTGTTGTATAGAATGCTGTATTGCTGCAGAGAATATGCTGTACACACAGGTAACCCCCATTTCCATCACAGGTGTTGGAAGGGTTAGTAGCACCTATGCAGTTCAGTTCCTGAACCCATTATGCACCTCTATATCCTTTCCACAACTACCCAGAGGATGTGTATTGGGACGTGCATATTCAGCTAACTTCAGTCTGTGAGTGATGATAAACTACTGTTTTAATTCACATTACCCCCAAACTTACAACAGTTGTGATGGACAGCTAAAGTTAAAAGCACACAAAAAACTCATATACACCAAGGACAGGGGACGGCACAAGGAAAGGTTACCAGCTTCAACACTGTTGTGGTGGCAGGTAGTGCCATCTGGTATTGGTGGGTGGGGGTGGGGTAACTAAGTTTAATAATGCAATTAGGAGAGAGAATACTGTCATTCCTTGTATTGCTAATTATCACTTGTAGGAGCATTGAGAATACTGGTCACACACTTGTGAGTTGATCTTTGAATAATGGGCAAGTTTGCTGTAAATGGATGACAAAAAATAATGGTAACCATATTAATAATCATTAAGCCAACCTGTAATTCTTAAAAAATTGCTACAAAATTTATGTAGCAATTAACATTAGGAAGTTTAGAGAAGAAAGGTTTGAGGCTGTACAGCATGCGAGAGTAAAAGTTTTAACTACGGTTAAAACTTTGTGTATTGAACTGATCAATGCATAAAATACATCTCAATACACCCCAGAACTCAGAGGTACAAGTTACAAGGAAAGGCTACATGAATTGCACCTCATGTCACTGGAAAACAGAATAGTTCGGGAAGGCATGATCACTACACAAAATTCTCAGGGAAAATTGACGGGGTAGATCAGGACATTATTTTGCAAGGGTGATACTCGCACAAGGGGACACAGGTGGAAACTGAGCACCCAAATGAGCCACAGAAACATTAGAAAGAACTTTTTCAGTGTAAGAGTACACTACTTAATAAATGGAATGCATTAAGAAGTGATGTGGTGGAGGTTGGCTCCATAAACAGTTTCAAATGGAGATATGGTAGAGCTCAATAAGCTCAGGAACCTGTACACCAGTAGATTAACAGTTGAAAGGTGGGACCAAAAAACCACAGCTCAACCCTCACAAGCACAATTAGGTAAGTACATGAGTACATATGATATGTAAATATAAATAACTGTATTATTGTTTACTTACTTCCAAAGTGGTCCCTGATGATGAATCCAGTCAGGTGGGCACAGACGTGGATGCTGATAGAAGAGCCAGAATGTATCAGCAGAGCAGTCTGGGGTATCATAACGCAAGAGAAGACGACCACCAATATTATCCATCACAGTTGCTACCCATCCACACAGTGGATTGCCATCAAATAATACCTAAAGGGATATGAAGGATCAAAATATATGTTGTCAACCTCTAATTGGATTTACATCCAGGCTCAATATGTAACATAAGAATAGAAGAATTTACAAAAGGCTGTTTAACCAATGTGAGGCAATACCTGTTTGTATCAGATCACTTCCACTTGTGTATTTACTCAACTAATGCATGAAATGTGTTAGTAAGTTTGCCTCTATAATATTACAGTACAGTACTGTGATGCAAGTTAGCACTTGAAAAGGTTCTGGAATTTTTTGGAAATGTGATGTCTGGCAGTCTTTCCAGGCTAGAATGAATATTCTCCAGTGTCTTCTCTAACTCCAATATGACATGTCAGGGAAAGTTTAAAACTTTTAATAGGTCACTACTGAGCCTGGAGTCTTGCTATTGGCAGCGACTGTGTGACTTGACAAGAAAAGTGGTGAAATGGGACAATGATAATGATTAAAATATTGCCAATACTGTACAGGTATTAGCTAGCTAGTCCGGAGTATATGGGAAGGATCCCCGTCCGGATGGGCCTGTCATCCGGACAAAAGGACATTTGATCAGAGAAGTCCAAAAGTGAACGTTTCCAAAACTTTTTGTACCACAACCAACATAATTTGAATTTCCACACACTATAATTAGTGTGTGGGGCTGGGTGGGTGGGGCTGCTTCCTATGAGCCTCCTGGCTCATAGGAGGCAGGACAAGTGGGCAGGCAGGCAGGTGCCTACACCCACCACACCCACACCCACTCCAAGCACCCACCACACCCACACCCGCTCCAGCCTCCCGGCTTGCCTGAAGCCTCCCAGCTTGCTTGAACCCTGCTTGACCACCTCCTTTTGTGGTGGTGGTGTACAATGAGTGTTAGGCCTGTTGTTTCACTTGCTGCCTGAAATGCTATGGGTGTTAGTGGCTTTGCATGAATGTAAAATTACCAATCTTATGTAATTTCACCAACCCATTGTACCTTCTTGAAAATAAATTATTATTATTATTATTATAACGTGTTTATCTCTCAGTGAGAAAGGTTCACATTTTATATTCGGTGGCAAGTCGATCCTTGGTTTTGGAGAGATTTTTAGGCTTCAAATGTTGACTTATACACCACATATATGGTAAACTCTCTGTCTGTTTATTTGTATCTGGAAAAATATCCGGTCATCCAGATTGTACGGACATTGTCTGGAAAGGGATATAACATTATTTAGACATGATTTTTGCTGGATTAGGGCATTTTCCAGATTGGCAGGTTTTGGATTAGTGAACTTTTACAGTATACACTATGACTATATAAGACATTATCTATATCTATAAAAGAGGATGTATATCTGCCTGTCCAAGGATGGAGGCCAGATGTTTAGGGTTAGCCTCATCCAATTTTTGAAGCTGACACATAGGTGGTAGGGCTGTCATAGGCAGGTCATGGTTTGCTCCACTGCCTTATCCCCTTTTAAAACAAGGATTAGCTCCTATTCCAAATTCCAGCAACTCCTATAAAGTCTGAAATGGGTCTTTTAGCTTCTATAGAGTTTTTCAACAGTTTTTGAGGGTCATGTTTCTGGAAGACATCATACAAATCAAGTGTACACAAATCAATTTTAAGGTTAAACTGGTGAAAATAGGGATGTATTTATAGATATCCCAAAGACCCATTTTCTTATTCTTATCAATACAGATTGGATTGAATCTGGGAATGGTCCTTGTGTTGTTAATAGGGATGAACTGTACATTTTGGGTGCAACGGTCATATTAAAATGTATGGTTTCTGATCAACCAACTCTACCAAAAGCCTTACATAATTCATTGTCCTGTCAATAGTCAACAAATGGAAAACTAATGCATGCTTTCCATGCTCCTATATATTTTTTCCTTGGAAACAAAACTGCAAGGATTGTTTTGTTTAAATTATACCTTGATGTCTCTTCTGAGATTCTACATATTGCTTCAAAATGTAGCCCCCAATATATGTCTAGTGTTCAAAATACTAATGTGAACCATTTTCCACAAATATTTTCTAGAGATAATAAGTGAAAACCACCTTCAGTAGGAAAAAGAAAAAAGAAAAAATGGAGAAATCATAAAGTATCCTTATTAAAGGATACATAAATACTAGTCCATTGGCGTCTGAAGATGTAGTTACAAGATAATCAGTTAAAAGTTGGCTTAGACATAATTACTCTCACAGAGATTATTAAACCCTTTAATGTTGTGACAAATTAATATACAATGCCCATTTTATATTTTAGACATCTTTGCATACACATGTTCTCAGCATACTGTACTTTGGTTGCAATACTGAAGCAGTGCAGTGGCAACAAGAGAGAGATGGTCACTATATTTCCAATTACATGTTTTACTTCCTATTTATTTGAACTGACAAATATATTTCAGCAGATAAAACAATAATATCATAATTACGATTACTCAGAGAGCTACTATACTTCAAAAATGATTTTCTATTCATTATGTTAAAAAATTTATACCTATAAGATGAATGATGTTCTATTAGCCAACTCGTGTGTGAAATCTCGGCCATGAAATTATACATATATGTACTGTACTATACACCATACTGTATATCCAAAACAAGATGCATACTTCAACTTTCATTCCTTGTTTGATGCGGTCCACTGCAGTATAGCCTTCCACGTCAAGTGCTTCCTCCGGTACTGATGTACCTTCTTGCTGAACTTGTTTTACTACTTCTTTGGCTTCCTTTACACTGTCATCATCTAATAAAACAGAAGTGAGTTCAGGTGGCAAAGATAAAGGGATATTATGATGACTGCACCAACCTACAGGGTGGAGACCCCCATTTGCTATCTCATGCCAGCATTCTATATTGAATGAACTCTGAGTTACATACCGCAATCTGTAAAAAAAAGTAAAAAGTGATTGAATTATTCTATGTGCAATATTAATTTGCAAAAGATTGACTAATTTGTTTATTTTTTTTTTTGTTCACACTCCTTAAAGTGGCAGCAACAGGCAGAATTTTTAATTATCTTTATAGTTAATAAAAAACTAGCATTGAATGTAATGAAACGCCATTTTCTGAATGAGCCCCAGAGGCTCCTTTGTGATCGGGCTAATATGTGATACATTAGACTAGGGCATTAGTCAATGGAGTTCAGCCTACCGGGGACCATGAGCCAGAACCTGGCCCCCTCAGAGAGGCACAGGGAGCAATGGCCCCCCTGGAACCCCCAAGACTGGGCTGGCAGCTCAAAATGGTAGCCAAAGCAGCAAACTTATGCATGTCATGGGCACAAGGATAAACTGCAGGCTAGCTAGACTTAACCCTGTTGATGACCTGGGAGACCCGAGCCCTGGAACTGGGAACGAGGGAAACCGGATCAACCCAAAGCACATCCCCGGCCACAGAAGCTGAGGTGCACAGGTCACAGCGTAGTCGCAACCGGACACATCACATGATGCACTCCCGGGAGGTTTTCCAAGAGCCATTGCTCCTTGTGCCTCTCTGAGGAGGGCCAGGTTCTGGCTCGTGGTCCCCGGTAGGCTGAACTCCATTGACTAAATCCCTAGTCTAATATATTGCCGATAGCTCCAGGGAGCCGAAGGGGCTCCCCTCAGAAATCATATATAATGACCACAATTTTGTATGTATAATGCATTACCTTAACAGTGGACCACATGTAGTAACAACTTTTGTTAGCCAGTATCCGGTTCCTTGTTGTGTGAGTGTAGGGTGAACCACCTCTACCAAATGATCTTCTAGTACTCCAGATTCTAAGCTCTTCTCCACCTGAAATGCATCACATTGCACACTGACAAGTTGCATGAGACACCATGTATACCATATATAGGACCCAAATAATGTGTTTATATTTACAGTATAGTATTGGATGTGAATAATGAGCCATATCAGGGGGTTTTATGGATGGAAATGACAGTTGTTGCATCACAACAATAATCAAACTCTGAACATCTGAAACCATACTCAATGTTAGAATGATACAGCTCATTCGTTACCTCTCTTAATATTGACATAGTCCATACACAGCATTAGTATTACAGTACCTCCAGTGTGAAGTCTGTGTAACAGATATTGTTCAAATGTTTGCCTATTTTTCAACCAACAATATTCCATTGCTATTTACTTGATGTGAGTAAAGCATACAGTTCACATTCTTGTTTCCCACAGTCCCACCTGTTGGCCTTATCAAGATCACCCTATGCCAACTATTGACCTTCCTCAGGATGCAACCCAGAACAGTTGCCTAGTTCCTAGGTACTTATTTATTGCTATGTGAACAGAAGCATCAGGAGCAAGGAAATGTTGCCCAACTGTTTCTATTGTGCCCAGGAATTGAACCAGGTTCACTCAGTTGTGAGCCGAGGACGTAGACTACTGTGTTGCAGGACCCTATTGAGGAAGGTATTCATATGTAGCACTCTTGCTGCAGTTAAATACCTACTCGGGTAAACTCAGGTATATAGTACTGTATATAGGTATATAGTACTGTATATCTGTTAAGGAAGGCAGTAGATAAAAGGTAGTATTATATTTAGATTTGTAAACAAGTGAATAGACAACAATATGTCTCCACAGTTGAGAGGCGGGCCAAAAGAGCAAAGCTCAACCCCCGCAAGCACAACTAGGTTTCCAGAGTGTTGGGATACATCAACTCTAATGTATCTATTATAAAATAATTATTTTCACAAGTACAGTACTGTATTGTACTTACATGTTGAAAGGCTGTAGGAGGAACTGCTTCACCTTGTGTTTCCTCCAAGTATTCTTCCCACACAAATTCATCTTCTGAAAAATTCATATTCTGTACAATTTATGTTTCAAGTAGTCCAACACAAATAAAATAATTTTTTTAATAAATCAACTAAAATTATTCAAAAAATAAATACAGTATATGAAAGTAATACACAGTTAATTTAGTAGGAGATATTTCATGCCAATGTTTTTTCAGTACCTTAACTACAGTCTTTGCATTTATAAGGCTGGTGCTTTGTCATGTTATAAATAAAAATAGAATTGAGACATCTTCAGAAGGACATACAGGTATCTGCTTTGGAAAATTACAATGCAGAGCGATAAAAATCATCCCAAAACAATGTTGGTTCACATACCATGAAAGGCTAAGGGCCACAGGATTAACTACACTGCTAAGCAGATGTGACAGGCCAAATCTCATGGAAAGTTTTAAAGTGATGAACCAATCGGAGGATAATAATCCAGACAACTTCTTTAAAAAATCCGAAGTAACACTTAAAAAGGGCTTCAGCTTCAAGCCCAATAAGTTACAATGCGAAACAAAAAACAGGTGATGCTTTTTCACCCATAGGGTTGTAAACCTGTGGAACTGCCTACCGGCAGAAGCTGTAAACTCCAAAACCTCTGTTCGGTTTTAAAATTCAGCTGGAAAAGATCATCAGGGCAAATGGGGCGACCTTTGACAAGCTGACCGCTTCGTGTCCTCATCGAGGACACTAGTATTAGTTGCCCCTCAGGTAAATTCCGGTAAAACCAATAGAAAAAATGTTAGCCTGCCTGCCGAAGCCATAAACCCAGGAAAAAATTATCAGGAAAAATGGGGGGAACCTTTACCAAGCTACTGATTTCCTGTCCCCAATCATGGTCAAACGATAAATTTGAGTAAATTCAGGTAAATTCAATACATTATAAGTAAGATATCTACTGTATTAATACTACCACCAATTTTGCTACAACTACTGTAGAGTACAGTACTCCCCAATAATTGTTTAGCTACTCCTGTCCAAAATCAATGATATACATAACATCTGATTAGCTAATTTATAAATCAAACCTCTAACCTGGACTTGAGATGACAGCTGATTCTTGTGTCATAAGCTTTTCTGAACACTCGACTTCTTGAGGCTTGGGTGATTGGTTTGCAAATGCTACTGGTGTTGCTGACTGTGCCTCTTCCATTTCTATGGTACCTGACATCATCTTTAACTGCATAAAGTATATACAAAATTAGTAGTTAAAGAGGTGGCAGAGGTGGCTATGGCAGAGGTGCCATAGGCACAATCAAAGAACACTGTATAAACATCAGAGGTCCACGGTTGTTCAACACCCTCCCAGCAAGCATAAGAAATATTGCCGGAACAACCGTGAACATCTTCAAGAGGAAACTAGATTTATTCCTCCAAGGAGTGCCGGACCAACCGGGTTGTGGTGGGTATGTGGGCCTGCGGGCTGCTCCAAGCAACAGCCTGGTGGACCAAACTCTCACAAGTCAAGCCTGGCCTCGGGCCGGGCTTGGGGAGTAGAAGAACTCCCAGAACCCCATCAACCAGGTATCAACCAGGTAACCAGGTATCATTGATGTATATAAGAAAAAAGAGAGGTCCTAGGATGCTGCCCTGTGGCACTCCTACGAGTAATGGTAGAGTGGGAGAGGTTATATCATTGATTATTTCATATTGGTGTCTGTCACTAAGATAGGATCAAATATAGTTCAGGGCAAAGCCTCAGATTCCATAATGGTAGAGTTTAAGTAAGAGGTACAGTAGTTATGGTTAACAGTATCTAAGGCCTTTCTCAGGTCAATGAAGAGTCCCGTCGGGAACTCATTTTTGTCAAGGGCTGTGTAGATTATATCAAGCAGACTAATAATTGCATCGTTGGTATTCTTTTGGGAGTGGAAATCAAACTGACAAGGGCTTAGTATGTTGAATTTTACGAGGTAGGAGTAGAGCTGTTTGTAAATAATTTTGTCAAATATTTTTGATAATATAGGTAGATTTGATATTGGTCTGTAATTGTTTATGTCTGCCGTATTGCCTCTTTTAAGAACTGGCATTACTTGTGCTTTTTTAAGGATATCAGGGAAGGTTTGACATCCTAGATATTTGTTGAACAGCAGGGCTAGAGGTGGTACAAGGGCATGGGAGGCACTCTTGTCTACCACAGATGGTATTTCACTGATGTTCCCAGTTTTGGTGAGAAAGTGAATGATGGACATAACATCTGTCGAGCTGACTGGTGAAAGGAGAAGAGTGTTTGGATAGCTGCCTGTAAGATATGTGGTAACATGTATCCGAGTCTGTGAGATTTTTTCTGGCAAGGTGATGATGAAAAGAAGCTATTAAATTCAGTTGCCATTTCTAAATTTGTTGCTGGTGTATAACCATCCTTCGAGAGTTTTCTGGTTATGTGATTGTTGTTTAGATCCTAGGATGTTAGAGATGGCTTTCCATGTGCTTTTCATGTTGCCTTTTGATTCTTTGAATCTATTCTCAAAATAGGAAAATTTTGCTCTTATGATTATATTGGTAAGCGTTGATGAGTACCTCTTAACTACTAATATTGTGACTAGGCCAATCCTAATTTTTTTCATATTCATGTTTCTTGTTGATTGCTTTGAGTATGCCACTTGTGAGCCAGGCATTGCTGAATCTTTTGGCAGTTACTTGCTTGGTGAGGAGAGGACAGCAAGTGTTGTAGAGGCTTAGAGTTTGGAAAGGAAGATGTTAGCTAATGAATTTATATCTTGTGTATTATTGAATTCGGATTCCCAGTTTATATTGTGAAGTGCATTTGTGAGATTGCCTATTGCTGCTTCACTGTGTAACCTAAATGTGAGTTTCTTGATATCTGGTGGTGTTATGTTCATGTTTGCTATGAAGAAGGTAGGATAGTGGTCAGTTGTTCTGTCAGTGATTATACCAGATGCAAGGGGAGTTGTTACGTAACTCCGTAAGTGATCCAAGGTAGCAGAAGATGTTTTAGTGATTCGGGTGGGCTTGGTGATTGTGGGGGATTAGCATACTGGAGTTCATGCTGTTTAGGAAATACAGTAGTCAACTTGAGGGCTATTTTGTTGACAAAGGTCAATATTGAAGTCACCTCCTAGAATGATGTGATTTTTGTTGAGATTGTTATTTATGATAAGATTCCTTAGGCTATCTGAGAATGCAGTTATATTAGTAATGGGAAAACTATGGAGAGCTCCAATAGTCAAAGAGGATTTAAGGGATTTAATAGAGAACTGAGCAAAGGTATATTCACAGCAGTCGTCTCTATCACTAATGACACTATTGCAAATGAAGGTATTTTGTCAGTAGATAACTGTGCCACCTTTTTTATTAGGCCTACAGTTGTGAATGGCTTTATAACCAGCTAAGTTGTAAAGTTGGGTATGGTCTTCACTTAGTCATGTTTCTGTTAAAATAATGAATGATAGTTTAGTACCTAGTGCTGCAAGTAGTACATTAATATCATCAAAATGTTTACAAAGTGATCTGACATTTTGGTTGAAAAACTGATAGGCAAGTGATATTTTGAAGTTACATAGTTTTTTGCAAGGTTTGCTGTGTAATACCTGTAGTAGTGATGATCAATATGCTGGTTATTGTTGATTTGTGACAGCAAATTTTTTTTTTTTTTAGTTTTAGTTTTAAAAATAGATATATTTTTATATACTGAACAGTGTAATGTTATTCAAACCTTTCATGGCATACCATATAATAAATGTGTATAATTTTCTCAAGACATATGAAAATCATCTTTATAGTAGAACCTAAGCTAACATAATGACCGTGGCTATGTTGGAAATACAGTATGTCTATACCTGCAGGCTGCTCCAAGCAACAGCCTAGTGGACCAAGCTCTCACAAGTCAAGCCTGGCCTTGGGCCGGGCTTAGGAAGTAGAACTCCCATAACCCCATCAAGCAGGTATAGGAGACTGAACTATAATAATAATAATAATAATAATAATAATAGTAAATTATGGAGGCTCTGATTAAAGTGATTTCATTGTAAATATTTACATTTTCTAAAACCCAATAATCATTTTGCAGCATTTTGGGCATATCTTAAGCTTAATTTGGGTGTTTAAATTAGTACATTTTTTGGGGTGATTAATTAGGAACCTATACTAGTAATTACCATTGTACCTACAGCACTGTTTATATACTGTATATATATATATATATATATATATATATATATATATATATACATATATATATATGTATATATATATATATATATATATATATATATATATATATATATATATATATATATATATATAACAGAACAGAGAGAAAGTTCTATAAAGAGAACAGCTGTACAGATGTATATCCAACATATTCACAACCTTTAGGCTATGTAAATGTACATTATTCAAGCAACTGTTGAATTAGTTCTCATGAACTACTACATATTTTTCAATCTGGCCAGCTTTCCAATATACAGTATATGCTTTCCCATACTTAATTATCTCTATACAGAATCAATGTTCAGCATCTGTATCTCTGTACAACATATTGACTTGTGCCTGCAAAAAAAAGTAAATATATATATATATATTTTTTTTTAGACCTACTTGAACTTCAAGGATTCAAATTGTTATGTTACAAAATTAAAAGAAAAACTTTTAAAATTAACTTGTTTGAAAATTTCCATTATAACTGTTAAAGACACACAAAGTTACTGAAAATGTTCTACTACAGGATGTACAAAACTGTAATTTTTGTACATGTGCTTACAGGTATTGTTGACAGCTGGCTGTCAACATTACCTGTACAATTAGTATTAATTTTCCGGCAAGTGTACATATATCTAGTGCAACCATTACGTATATCTAAGCTAACTAGCAACAATTTTAAAGTTGCTCAAAGTAATTACAATCAATAACAATAATTAATTATACGTAAATTATTGACTTTTAATAACAAATGATGCCAAGTCGTTTCAATCTTCGCGTCCAATCATGGTTTACAATAATAAAATATAACTTCAGTTCTCACACATGAATTTTCATTACTTAACACGTTCCACTCCTAAAGTGGTGCCAAGTTGATGCATAATTACCTCACACGAGGGCAGATATGGCCCTAAAACAAGGAGAAGAGTGCCAGGTGAGCCAGTGACCCGTCTTCCACTCCACTACCATCTAAGACTTGCGCCAGGCGGATACCTCACCTCTACACACCATTACTATCGCTTTCTTATCCTCTCCAACTTCTTTATGTATACTGTATCATATAAAGACAACGCACACTTAATCGCCACATGTAATAAATTGGAATGAGATTAGGTACATTATCCTTTATGTATTATACATTCGGAGAGAGACACAAGTTAGCGTGACTAAAAGCTTTGTGACGAGTCAATACATAATACTGTAATTATCTGTGATTATTGCTGTATATGAAGCAACGAGCGCACACAGATATAATCAGTCCCCAAGTATTAAGTACAGTCTGATATACAAATGCAAAGCTTGTTTTGCAGTATGTGCAGAAAGTCAATTTATTTAAATTCATAGAAGCTGATGATGCTGTATTTTTTTCGGCACAGAACGCGCAGCCCATATAAGAGAAAGCGTTGCACATTTTCAGAAGTACTGTATTTTTTGTTTGTATATATATATATATATTCAGATGTTCTTACATTCTTGTAAAGCCACTAGCACGCATACCGTTTCGGAGCATAGAGTTTCGTCTTTAATCCTTATTTTCCTCCCCGGAATACGACCCGCCAAATCGTTTAACAACCAGATACCCATTCACTGCTGGGTGAACAGAGACTACAGTTAAGGATTGGCGCCCAGTCAATCCTCCCCGGCCAGGATACGAACCCTGGCCAAAGCGCTCGCGAAGCATAATATGTTTAATATTAGTCAGAAAATACAAAAAATAAATTTTAATCAGAAATAAGACAATTGTAGCCCAAATATTACAACGCCATATACAGGTATGTAGGCAATCTGGTGTTACATGCAGCTGTACCACACCCGAGGTGGGGCGGAGAGTTTACCATACCCGAGGTAGTGCTGAAAGTTTACCATACCCGAGGTAGGGCGGAGAGGTTACCATACCCGAGGTGGGGCGGAGAGTTTACCATACCCGAAGTGGGGCAAAAAGTTTACCATACACCCGAGGTAGAGCGGAAAGTTTACCATACACCCGAGGTAGGGCGGAAAGTTTACCATACCCGAGGTGGGGCGGAAAGTTTACCATATCCGAGGTGGGGCGGAGAGTTTACCATACCCGAGGTGGGGCGGAAAGTTTACCATACCCGAGGTGGGGCGGAGAGTTTACCATACCCGAGATGGGGCGGAGAGTTTACCATACCCGAGGTGGGTGAAACAAGTGTTGAAGAAAGTAAGGAAGAACATGACGTATTGATGATAGAGGATAGTCAGGAAAATGAACTTTCTAGTAGTGTTAGCATGTGTTCAACCTTCTGTAGTGACAAATGTTGAAACAAAGGTTAAAGTAAAACGATATAGAGAAGTAAAAAAGAAAATAGATATGAATAATATCACCTTTGATGTTAGTAGCTGTTGTGCAAGTAAGGAGAAAGCAAAAATGTTACAGTGTTGGGAGAGTCTGTCTGAGAAAATCTCGTATCTCATGGAATGTGACGGACAGGGCAAAGATAGTTTTATTATTAATCATGGATGAAAGTAGAGTGAGAATATTATCTTGGAGCGTTAATGGGTTAAAATCTAGTGCGGTGGATGTACACTATTATACTCTTAGATAGTACTATATTAACCTGAAATGTTAAATGGGATTCTTGTATTTGTACTCACTGAATTTGTGCGCCCCTTGAGGGACTTGAAATATGGGGAGGGGTAGAAATAGCCTAAGCTACTCTGAGATTTTTTTTAACTTGTCTCAATAAACACACTTGAACTTGAAAGAACATTATGTATTAGAGTGTCAATTTATTGATAACTATAGAAATAAGGAAATAAGTAGTGTACTACTTCAAATTGTTTAGATGTGTGATAATGATATGATAGACAGAATACTTAGGAGTTACAAGAATTTTACCCCAATGATTGTAACACTTATATGCTGTGCTTACTATATTAATCTGCAATGTTAAATGTTGTATTGTGATTTGTGTATCTGTACTCACTGAATTTGTGCGCTCCTTGAGGGACTTGAAGTAAGGGGGTAGAAATAGCCTAAGCTACTCTACCCCTTTGAGATGTATCTTTATTTTGTCTTGATAAACATACTTGAACTTGAATAAGGAGTGTAAATTATGTAGTATGCCGCACGCCCACACCTTAGAACATTTTGCAATAGAGTATCAACTTATTGATAACTATAGAAATAAGGAAATAAGTAATGTACCACTTCAAATGTTTGGATGTGTGATATGTTATGATAGACAGATTACTTAGGAGCTACAAGAATTTTGCCCCAAGAGTGTAACAATTGTATGCTGTGCTTACTATATTAACCTGCGAAGTTAAATGGGATTCTTGTAATGTTATTTGTCTATTTGTACTCACTGAATTTGTGCGCCCTTTGAGGGACTTGAAGTAGAGGGGGGCAGAAATAGCCTAAGCTACTCTATCCCTTTGTGATGTATTTCTTTCTTATCACAATAAACATACTTGAACTTGAACTTGAACTTGGCGTAATGGCAGGGTTGCCAGATTGGGCTACAAATAGCGAATTGGGCTACTTTTGAGAGCCCGGTGCTCCCAAATTTTTAATTTCGCTACTTGCTACTTTTTGGGTTAATTTAAAAGCAAGATGTGCTAATTTGGGCTATTATTGTTAAGAATGTACGATTGCGAGTTACATAAAAGTAACTAAGAAAAATATAATTGTAATTAATAATAATTGTAATACTAAATAATATTATTTAATAAATTAGTCAAAATTCAATGCAGAGTTTTCTTCCAACCACAGAAACTTGTAAATATAAATAAAAGATAATAGATAAATCGATAAATAAATAAACAACTTTCAAATATTGCACCAAGTAATGGCGAGAGGAAAAAAACTAGACAGTATACATTACATATGAAATTAATAATGGATGAATGGTAATAAATTGGTGAATGTTTGTATGTATACCAGACACAGTTCATTTAATGGCAGAATTTAGCCATTTTGTGTAAAAGCTTTTATATCTCCTATTATTAAATGTAACAGTTATCGAAAAAAGTCAGTTTGTATATACAAGAGATGAAACAGAGACATGAGCTAAATCGATGTGCTGAGTCCATAAGGAGGCCGAGCTTCCAGAGATACCTTCCTGTGATTGGCTGTTGCGGGGAATACCAAAACTCTTATGAATAAAATTTAAACTAAGAAAAAGGTCCTTGTGCACAACAACAAGGTTGTCGTGAAAAAGAACAACCATTTCTGTTTTGCACCTGACAGAAATCTCCATTTAACTGAATAATTTACTCGAATAAAAGGGCAGAGCAGCGTATCATTATTTGTGTCAAGGCAACCCCCCAAAATAACGTCAAAAGTTAGGTAGCCAGCCCATATTTCTGTAACACCCGTTACATCCTGCAGTATTTAATTATCACTATATTAATACTTTTAAATACTTAATATTTCACTTTTTAGGTAGATTAAAGTTGAAGCAGAATGTCATAAGCAAGGATGGTGTGCTGAATAAATATGATTTATTAAGTGGATGGAGCCTTTAGCTGATCCCTTCCTGTGATTGGCTGTTGTGTGAATGTCAACAAAGAGTTTCTAAAATGATATGCCATTTATTATGCACCCCATACCATCTGTGGGCGGAGCTTGGAACCTCCTACCCGAGCACAACAACCCACCTTATGGGTTGCTGTTTGGCTATTTATAGTGCGTTGGAAAAAAAAGAGATGGCGCTAGTAGTTTTTGTAGGGTAATTTGTTATAGGTGTAATTTGATGTCAACAGATGGCGTAAGCTGTATCTTATGGCCACTGTTGACCAGCCAGTTGATAGTGTTCTCTTCTGCCGACAGATGGCATTAGGTGTGTTATTATTACTTCCGAATTCCCTTTAAACACTGATCTACAAATCCCTTGGCTTATGATAAGGTTTTATACCGTTTATCATAGGTATTAGATAACTGGAGTTCGGCAATTACTTTTATTTATCAACTGTTCAGGATATCATCATATAATGTCTGGTTAGGACGTACTGCTCTCGATTGATGAAGATTAAGCCACCCAAGAGGTGGCACGGGCATGAATAGCCCGTAAATACTGCTCTCGTAATATTATTCAGGGGGGTGGGGGAACTATCAAGTGAAAGCGCCAAGCCATTACAACTATATAGCACTCGGAAGGGATCAGGATACGGATTTGAGATGGAACGGGGGAAAGGAGTGATGCCCAACCTCTTGGGCGGTCGGGGATTGAACGCGAACCTGTAGGAAACAAGACCGTCGCTCTACCGTCCAGCCCAAGTGGTTAAGCGTAATATTATTCAAACAACAATTTATGCATATAATAACAGCATTTCACACTAAAAATACTTGGATATATTGAAATTTGGTAGTGAATTCCAATCTAGAAATCTCCTATGACTAAACTGTACTTTTTAATCATTTTTATGTACTTACTACTTATTATTAAATTATTAAGTACTTACTATAATAATTAAATCAATTATTTTATTTAATATTTAAATTAAATGATAAAATAATAGGTAATAATAAATCATTGTGTAGGGGAGACAGGCAGCCAGTGTGTATATATACATGTTAGGCTTATACCAAGATCCCGCAAATGTGCCAAATTAAAGACTGGGCGCTGCCGGGGCGGGCCCAAGGGCTGCTGGCGGCCCTGGCCAGGCTGAACTTCCGCGCCCTTATAATCACAATTGTTTAATAATCTTCACAGGGAGAAACAACTGTAAATATTGGAATAGTTTATTACAACATACACGGTAAAGAAAACAGCTCGGAAACCAAGGAAATAAAGCTGCCGAAAAAACATTAAAGTCCACTTCAAGTTCAAGTATGTTTATTGAGACAATAAAAAAATACATCTCAAAGAGATAGAGTAGCTTAGGCTATTTCTACCCCCTTACTTCAAGTCCCTCAAGGGGCGCACAAATTCAGTGAGTACAAATACACAAATCACAATACAAGAATCCCATTTAACATAGCAGGTTAAAATAGGAAGCACAGCATATAAGTGTTACAAGAGAGTTACAAGCTACAAGGGATATATGTATATATATATATATATATATATATATATATATATATATATATATATATATATATATATATATATATATATATATATATATATATATATATATATATATATATATATATATATATATCGTGTAGTGTACTCTATATATCAAAATATATTACTTTGAAACCCATATCATTCACTAAAAAAGATTGGGCTACTTTTATTACAAGTCCGCTACTTTTAGAGCGTCAGCTCGCTACTTTCCGCAACTTAGATCTGGCAACCCTGCGAAAAGATGGCGAAAAGAGATTTCAGTAGAAGGGGCTTGGAACGAGGCAAGAAGTTTCCAGTGAAATTGTCGCTTTTAAATAGTCGTCATACAGCTAAGTACCTCACATAGTTGTGTTAGTAGCATCCTGATGCAAGATTCACGTTACAGAGAAATAGGTGTACTATATGAGGTTATATTGAGGGTTATTGTTGTGGGTTGAGTGACTGGGGCGTGACACAAGGCCGCTGTGGTCTCACATGTGCTGGCTGTGAAGCACCTGTTGGTAAGCCTGGTTCTCAGGGAGGCTTGGGGGTTAGCCCAAAGCATGTCTAAATTATTTATGTCATTTGTAAATAGGAGCTCATTTTCCTGGTGGTGTAATTCACGTAATTATTTTGTAAAAGGTAACGTTTCATTTCATTCACCTGGGCCACGAGAGCCTCGAACATAAGCCCACAAAAGCAGTAGCCCGTAATTTTAACCACAACACCACTGAACACCCATTATAAAGGAAGACCTCTAAGACATACAACTGGTATTCACCTGAGACTATAGGCCTCACCAGAGGTGTCACTCGAGTATGGAGGCCTCAGGTACTCTACGCCCTAGTCACACGTCAAGGCCGTCTTTCCTCTGTAGTTATATCAATTATTTACTTTGATTCTAGTGGCTGTGTGTGCATAACCCCGGCTTAGAATATTAGGAGTCTCTTAAGGCATGCATAACGGTCTGTAGTAACCAAAGGACTTAGCAGGGTTCTCGTAGGATGGAATAGGAGTCCACTACTGAAAATGGGGGGGGGGGGGGGCTGGCAGCTGAGTGGACAGCGCTTCGGATTCTTGTTTTTTTCTTTTCTTTTTAATTTATATATATGAGAGTTGTTACATTCTTGTACAGACACTAGTACGCGTAGCGTTTCGGGCTTTAAGTCTTTAATCCTATGTTTTGCGGAATACTAACCCGCCAAATCGTTTAACAACCAGGTACCCATTTAACTTTTGGGTAAACAGAGGCTACAGTTAAGGATCTGCGTTCAGTAAATCCTCCCCAGCCAGGATACGAACCCAGGATAAAGCGGTCACGAAACGCCAGGCGAGCGTCTTAACCACTACACCCCGGGGACTGTGACTTCGTAGTCACAGTCGTAGTCCTGAGGTTCCGGGTTCGATTCCCGGTGGAGGCGGAAGCAAATGGGTAAAATTCTTTCATCCAGATGTCCCTGTTCACCTAGCAGTAAAGAGGTACCAGGGAGTTAGACATCTGCTTCGGGCTGCTTCCTGGGGGTGTGTAACAAAAAGGAGACCTGGTCGAGGACCGGGCCGCGGGGACGCTAAGCCCCGAAATCATCTCAAGATAACCTCAAAAAGAATATGCTGTAAAGAAGATGAACAGCTACAGCGTCAAATAGTGACGTTGTTTGCAAGAGGCAACCAGTAAACTGGGGCAAGCAAGGACATAATACAGCAACACTGGACTATATTTATATTACAAACGAAATTATAAATTTAAGACGAGTCTCCATACTCAATCGGTTCTATAGAACAGTTAGGGAAGGGGTGCTGAGTAGTGGACCAAAGGACTAAGCAGGTTTCTCGTAGGGGGGAATAGTAGCCTACTACCACTAGGTGATATTTAAGTTCCTAGAGGACCTAGACGTGCAATAAGAAGGGCTGGACAAAAAATATAAATTTCTTAATCAGAAAGATAAAACTATTCGAACTTGAAAACAACTAAGGGCAAAATTACAGCCCTCCTGGGAAACCATTTTGGATCATAGTGCAGCAGAAAAATTACCGTAAGTCAGCACTGAACAGTTGGGAAATTTCAGACATCGGATATTCATGGGAAGCCGTCCATTGCTTCGCGTGCCACAATACTCTATGACTGTTACTATAGAAGTCCACTTGTCATTAATACGTTTCTACCCATAACATTATTTTTAGTAAAGAACGTTAAACCTTTTCTTCCTTGCATGTGATCACAAGCTGTATTGGGTGCAAGTGAAAATGTCAAATAAAATTGCATAATAATAGTAAAAATTTATTAGAGTAATACAACAAAGTTTACAATTTTTGTAAATAAGGATGTCGATAATAAACAAAATCGTAAGAAGTTGAAATTTTCACGAATTTAAACTTATTTTTGTGTTGTGCTCAGCATACCGAAGCTAAAGCCCAACACAATTTTATAAGACCATTACTTAAGTCCACTTATTATTAAACATGTGGTATATGTCTCGAGGAAACGACATAACATATATCGACACGTCTCGAGACGACATATAACCTCGAGGAAAAAATCCGGAGCTGGAGCGCCTAAGGCTGACTTCAACCTCGTTTTGGCAGCTCCTGCGACAGCTCCTGCGACAGCGCTGAAACCAAGAGTATTGGCGTTTGCCTTTCCATTTGACAATTTCAGAAACGTGGAGAAGGGGAAGAGGACTTGCTGCATGGGTAACAGTCTCCTCCATATCTAACTACACAGACTTTGTGCCCTGGAGAGGACACGCCAGCCTCGACGTCCAGAGCGCAACACCATTGTCTCCCAAGCCTACCTACTACTACTACTATATGTTGCTTCGGTTATATATAGGGTCATCGACAGTGTAGACGGCGCGGTTACCGTGTGTGTGCTTTTCCAGCTCATCTTCCTAAAGTACAGTACTTATGGTAACTATTTGGTCAAATGTACCAATATGTACTGTTGGACTTTCTTGTCCAAGCAATCCTAGGTCTAATATAGTACATATATGTGCCATGCTAGGCCAGAGGAATGCTTAATTTTTATGTTTTGTGCTCTATGAATCGGTTTTTATTTACATACCGTTAGTAGGCGTATATGCATATAATTTAAGGCGGAAAATAGTTTTTATGTAAATGTAAAAATCATTTTATATATCTTTTAATCTGTTTTTGTAATTAATTATATGAAATATAAAGATGCGAAAATTATTTGTTATTGACATTTTAAATGTTTTCAAGAGATCGCAGAACAGAAGTGACCAGGACCTCTTATGTTGACTGTAATCATTAGCTTCTCGTACCGTGTCCCGACTTCCGGTAAAACTGTGTTTTGCAGCAGAGATAAGTGAACTACTTACCTTATCACGCAAGTATTTATACACCTTACTGAAATATGTAGAGGTTAGTGATGGCTGAGCGTTGGCAGACAAGAAGGATGTGGAGCAATAAAGATGAGCTTTGTTAATGCGCCGTGGAAAACTGTAGGCACTACATAAAGTATTTGTAGAGCAGAATGTGGTGTTGATATTTGACAGCGTTGGTGGATTACCGGCACGTGGCGACCCAAGAGATTTTAAATTGTACTGAGACCCCTTCTGATGCTGCGTTGGAGCTAGATGGAAAATGTACACTTCTGTCGAAGGTGGGTTTAACAGGCAAGGTACAGGATATAGCCTATGCTGCAGCCAGTTAAGGTCGAGCGTATTTCTGTGATGGTTGTTGCACGAAGTATCCACTTCACCGTGCTGGGGGGTCAGCCCCTTATCACATTGGTGCGGGCAGTAGTGCTGACATGTATTTCGTTGGAGAAAATTGAAGCACGAGATATGAATCTTACTACAACGTCTCAATAGGTGTCTTTGGTAATAGGCTGTGTGTAGATATTGACTCAATGTGTTCTGACATTGTTTGTGTAGTGGATGATGATGGCAAGCTGTAGCGCATCGATGGTGACCACATAAGAAGTGTCCACTTGGGTGCCGTCTGTAGATTAGCCAATGATAGGCCTGAGTGTTCCCCTGACGATGGTTCCACATGTGGTACAGCTGTCCTGTGGTCTGGCACAGTCGGCACACAGATGGAGGTGAGAGCACGGCTGAAACACAACCGCCACTCTCTCTCTCTTGCACTTTCGACAAAGTAATCGACTTTCTGCTTCCACTACCTGCCGCTGCAACTCCTCCACTGTGAAGTCAAATGCAAATGTTTTGATTTAATATTTTAGTTCACAGCACAATTTAGAATATATTAAAAGTGGTCTGTCAAGCTTTATGATCTATTGCACATTTCGAAGAATGAGCAAGGTGAATTCACCACTACTGTACATTAGTGTTATGTTAGGGCATGAGGCTGTAAGCTCTACCTTCTTGTAATAGTCTGGTGTGATCTGACGTCACATGCGGACTGGGCTGGTCTTGAGAGCCAACACCAGGAGAAAAAGGCATCGAGGGCTCCACCTGTTGAAGAGATGAAATATGATATCCCGATTTAATGCTTCATTTTCACAATATATTTACATTTTCCAAATTCCCCGCCTGACTACAAAATCACTCTGGTAGAGTTGTCGGCAGGGGAATTTATATGGCAACATTGACATTATTAACATATAATTTTAACATATCGCCATGGACGTAAATCAACATTAGTGCACTATGGCAACATAGCCTACCTGCATGGGCGTTGGTGAGGCGATTGTAGTCTGCGACGTTTGGTTCTCAATCTGTTGACACCAGAGGTCTCCATTACATATGTGCTTTGTATAAAAGCTACACAATAACAAATATGCTAGCGAAGAAAAACAATCTCAAAGAAAAAAATCTCGTAGTCAATAACCGCAGAATAAAATAATAATAATAATAATAATAATAATAATAATAATAATAATAATAATAATAATAATAATAATAATAATAATCGTATTGTCAGGGAAAGGAAGTTGGTGTATATGTATACTATAGGCTTGTACCGAGGGCCGTCGACCCCCAAGTCGAGCTACTGACCATCCCCAGGGTGCAACTCCGTGACAGTTGCTTAACTCCCGCATACCTTTTCACTGCTAGGTGAACAGAGGCATTAGGTGAAGGGAAGCTTGACCAACTATTTTATGTCCTGCTCTGGATCATAATAGTACTTATAGCTAATATGGGATGAACGTACGAAAATGAACTGTTGTGACAAAAAAAATCGCGTTTTGTTCTATTATTTTTTTTCAGGGCACGAAAAAGAAGGCAACCACCAGACCTAAAGTTTCCTAGGCCTAGTATAGCACATATCTGTACTATACTAGGTCTCGTGTGTCTTATATTAGGCCTAGTATAGCACATATATGTACTATACTAGGTCTCGTGTGTCTTATATTAAGCCTAGTATAGCATATATATGCGGTATATTAGGTCTAGTGTGGCTTATATTAAGCCTAAGATAGCATATTTAGGACTTCGGCAGGTTGTTGGGTTTTATAGTTACTGTTCCAATTTTTGGCTTGCCATTTGGCGAATTTACAAACCGTAAATTTTGCTCCGTTTATCACATTTCATATATAGTTTTGTTTTCAAGTTGTACGTTCTACCAAAGAGTTAATATAAATACTATAATTTTTTAAGAATGTGTTGCACCTAAAATCTAAGTTATTCTAGACATGATCTCAACTTGAAACTAAACAATATATAAAATGTGATAAACGGAGCGAAATGTTTTAAAATTATTATATTTAAGTTAAAAATCCTCATTGTATTTATATGGAAATGTCAGTATTTACTTGCAATAGAACCGAGTAAATACTGAAGATGGAGGCGCAACATGCTAAGCAAGAGATGGGTGGTAGTGCTGTTACCTGGGCTCCGTCATGCAGGAGCGGGGGACTTATGCTCTTCTTGCGTTGGTCTTCTTCATAGTCGAAGACCAGCTCGAGTGCATCCGTTACTGTACGACACAGAACTCCGCGGTTCTGCAGGCGTCGTCTCAGTGCCTCTTTCACTGACACCTGGGACAGTCCCATGCCTACAAGGCGCTGAGGAAGAGGGCATTGCTCATTAATGCTCAATTATCTCTTTAACTAAAGCTAGAAAATAATTAGCTATATTTTTAGTTTTAGTTTATTTTACGGCGAATTTTATAAAACAAAATTTTATAAGTAAATTAACGTGGTCTTATCATTAATATTATTAAGATATTCACAAAACGCTAAAGCTTGTATCCTGCAAGAGCTGAGAGCTAACCTTGGCGATGGGGTGGAGCAGCAGTAGTTCTGCCTCTTGGTCACTGAGAGCGAGCGCGCGGTTCTTGGCTGTAGGCGCCGGCTTGCTCTTCATTGCGTTGGTAATATCCTCATTGCCCTTCTGCATCCTGATGAAGGGGCAGGAGGGATAGAAGCGAGCATGGTCGGCTAGCGGGTCATCTCCCTTCCTCCAGCCATAAAGCCCTCCGCCACAGTTGAAGCACTGGACCCAGTCAGCGAGGCCCGTGGAGAAAAAGCCAGCCTCCACTAACTGTTCGGGAGCTACCCCGGTGTCCTGAGGCCAACGCCTGAATGTCTGCAAGCGACTAGATGGAGTGTTGAAGTGAGGGAAGGCGAGCCGCCCGCTGTCTGCCACTTGTACAGCGTCTGTTTACACAGTAAATGTTAATTTAATGTAAATTGAACGTATTTTGTTTGTTTCAGAAATCTAAGCGCCTGGCCTCCATCCTTGGACAGAAACAGACATTCTTTTTTTTATAGATATAGATTTGCGCTACGATCATTGACCTAACCCTGTCGGTCAACTTGAATAGCACATATCTACATCTTTATACATTGTATTAGCTTAAATATTGACTGCCGTATATAGTGGTAAAATATAATGTTGTTCAGTATATTTAAATCAAAACTGAAGGAGGATGGAATGACAATTAATAGAAGGGTTATGTTTACAGACCTGTGTGGAAGCCGGAGTCTGGCTGCTGCGGGCGCGTGCTGGCCAGCCTGAAGGCGTGATACTCGTCCATTAAGGCGTAGAGTGCACTGTCTTGAGTGTCTGTAGAGACTCTTGGGACGTTGCCTGTGGCCACGCCAGTAACGAAAGGACAGTTTGGGAAGTGTTTGCGGTGCTCCACCTCAGGATGGTCGCCGGGGTCCCAGTAGCCTACGATGCCTTGGCAGAAAACACACTGGACGTGGTCTTCAGTCCGTAAGTAGAAAAATCCTGCCTTAGCTAGTTGGTCTGGATCGACGAAGGGAACCGTCCAGTCTGCGAAGGTTTGGCGCCGCACTGACTCCAGCAGCAGTGCTGACTGCCAGTGAAACCTTCGCTCAGCACGCTCCTCCACAGCTGGAACACAATTAATATTTTGATTAATATGCTGATATCCCAGTCCATCAATCAGTAAGCCAGTACATGTAGCGACTGAGAGGGATATATACACAATATGGATTGTTGTATTTAGTTGATAGTTTACACATTTTTATTGAAAAAAAAGGAAAACAATAACCTAACCTGTCCTAAGCCTAACTCAACGTATTCAATGTCTAATTGTTTATATGAATATATATTAATCCATAAATGTTTGGTTAGGCCTACTACGGATTAATGTCTCTGTTTATTATCTTCCAAATTTTCTATAATACAAACTGTTGAGTTAATCTATGTAAAATAATCCATATTTTGTACATTTTTCTCTGGCAACTATAGGTATTATGTTATTAACTGATAGATTGTTATAACTGCAACAGTAATGCAAATAATAATCTATATTAATAGAATACATATTAGTTCAAAGTTTAAGCCCAGACGCTTTGGGCTAGCGGCATTAAACTTTACAGGGTGACTGGTGGGTGTTAAGTGACCTGTTATATGCGCGTCGGGTTCGCTCCCACTCATGGTGACCCACAATGAAGTTGGTGGAGATATAGTAGTGGCTGCCGAGCCTATAGAGTTTCATCATATGTTCATAATATCACAGAATTGAGATATTGACATGCAAAATGCATGTTCTGTGGTAGATTTTCATTCTGGGGCTCCCAGCGCTTAAATGGTGCAACCTTCTGGGGTCGATCTAGATACCTCTGGGTATCTTATCTAATAAATATATAATTGTTCACTGAGGGCGATCGAAGATGATGTCCCTCGACCCTTTCTTGAGTGGTATATCTCCTGAGACGTCAGCATAAATTTTAAATAGCATAAAATGCAGGATTAAAAGCTATGATGGTTATCTTGAGGTTACCTTGAGATGGCTTCGGGGCTTAACGTCTCCTCGTTGCTGGACTGATCAACCAGGCTGTTTGACGCAGCTGCTCGCAGCCTGACGTACGAGTCACAGCCTAGTTGATCAGGTATCCTTTGGAGGTGCCTATATGTTTACTACAGAATTTCCGGTTTTTGGGACAAGAAGCCTGTACTCATCCAGGAAGCTCATAGAGGTCTCCCTAGGTCAACCAGACCTAAAAGATATAATCCAAAACATTTACCTAACTCTAGGAGTACCTGTTTAACTGCTAGAAATCGTGCCCAACTGTTTTTTGTTCTGCCCGGGGATTGAACCCGGGTCCCCTTGATTGAGAGCCGAGATCACTGTGCTACGATCTCCATTCCATTAACATCTTCACAATACTAACACCATCTCCACTACACGAGCATAATCTTCATTGTTTGATAATTTTCTTCACTGTTAAAGCATCATTATCTCTCCCACTCCCGTCTAACAATTTAAATAATTATAATAATAATAATAACTAACAATTTGGGTCTGATAATTACTATATCTGCAACTGGATTGTCTCCAGTGCGTTATAATTATTTATATTCAATACATATTATCTTCACTACGTAAGTCTTATGGGTAACGGGCTGTAAATGCCATGTGTCCACATCGAAAGTCTCTGAGGCGGGGACACAACCGAAGCTCAAACCCCGGCAAGCACAATTAAGTGAATATAGCCAGGCTGCGGCAGCCTTGTGCTCCAGAACCCAGCCACACTGGCTGCGGCAGCCTTGTGCTCCAGAACCCAGCCACACTGGCTGCGGCAACCTTGTTGTGCTCCACACAACCCAGCCACACTGGCTGAGTCAGCCTTGTTGTGCTCCACAACCCAGCCACACTGGCTGCGTCAGCCTTGTTGTGCTCCACAACCCAGCCACACTGGCTGCGTCAGCCTTGTTGTGCTCCACAACCGAGCCACACTGGCTGCGTCAGCCTTGTTGTGCTCCACACAACCCAGCCACACTGGCTGCGTCAGCCTTGTTGTGCTCCACAACCCAGCCACACTGGCTGCGTCAGCCTTGTTGTGCTCCACAACCCAGCCACACTGGCTGCGTCAGCCTTGTTGTGCTCCACACAACCCAGCCACACTGGCTGCGTCAGCCTTGTTGTGCTCCACACAACCCAGCCACACTGGCTGCGGCAGCCTTGTGCTCCACAACCCAGCCAGACTGGCTGCGGCAACCTTGCTGTGCTCCACACACTACAGTCGCTCTGGCTGCAGCCTAGCCTTGTAGTCCACAGGCCGCAGCCTGACTGGTTACGACGTAACTCTCCCAACAGTCCACCACGGGAGTCATGACACCAACTCACCTCGCAAGTTTTGTGTGGCTTGAGGAAGTGACAGTCCATCTAACTGAAGCTGAGACATGTTGGTGATGGCAGGTGGAGTTCACAGCACGCACGTCGTCCTTCCCTGACACCCAAGGAGAAACTGGCACTTGTGTAGATAACCATTTAATACTACTGTTATCGTGCCGTCCTCATGTGTGGAACATGCTTCGTTTATCTAATCCTGATATCACGCATGAGGAATAAATAAATAAATAAAAAAACTTTCGAGTCTTCCCACGCAGAGGAAGCATATATCAATTTATTTTTTATTTTTATGTAAATTAATGTATTCTAATACTTATCCTGTGAACGCTGGTTGAAAGGTATGCGGGTTCAGGAACTAAACTCGTTTAGCTAACCAAGTTACGGCATTGATGAATTAGTTACACAGTTTGTTAATATTTACAACAGTATTTACAATTTTAGATAGTTTAAATTTGCAGTTATTGAAAGCTGACAAACAGCACTATCTACAGTAGGCGAAATTGGGATATTGGGCTAAGAGTTTGGTGTAATATAGTGTAATATATATGGCATGTCTGGAAAGCCTAATTTTACTTTGCCTGCGTTCTGGCATTGTTTTCAGTTTTGTCTGCACAAAATAATTAATGGCTAGACAGATTTGTATGATATTTGTGGGCAATAACTGCCTGACGGGAAGGAATAAATTACTTTATTTTTAAGGATAGTTATTCTGCTCTTTTAGGATATATGTCGGAAACGAATATACAGTTTTCTTAGGGGGGCTTTACGTAATTTTTGTTTCTTCAGTGATAGTCACGAGAAAAGACTGATTGTCTGGAATTACCATAGTACGATGAGATTACTGATAACAGGTGGGTATGGGGTGGGGGAGAGGGGGAGCATTAGGGTGCAGCAGGTTCAAGTCAGGACTGACTGGGAACCTATTCTTAACGGTTCACCTTTATCCACCCAACAATAATTTGGGGGACTTGGTTTTCAACCAAGTCCCCAATTTGGAGGATCGTGCTTCAGGGACAACTAATAGGGTCAGCTATGAAGGACAATTGGCAGGAATTAAGCCTGCCAACAGGAATTAAGCCTGCCAACAGGAATTAAGCCTGCCAACAGGAATTAAGCCTGCCAACAGGAATTAAGCCTGCCAACAGGAATTAAGCCTGCCAACAGGAATTAAGCCTGCCAACAGGAATTAAGCCTGCCAACAGGAATTAAGCCCGCCAACAGGAATTAAGCCTACCAACAGGAATTAAGCCCGCCAACAGGAATTATAATCGAGTTCAGTAACCACTTTCGTAAAAAAAAGTCATTTGAGCCAGATGGAAAGGAGACAGCTGCAGCCGCTCTCACCGTGTCTCTTCATCTCTTCCATCCCTCGATACAACCTTGATTTTGAAAGGGGGGGGGAGCTGATGGGAAAGGAAGCCTGTCTCATATAACAGACAATGGAAGGGTCTTGGTAATACAGTCGGGTTAGTTCTCGACTCGCGATCGGAAATCCCGGGTTCAAATTCTGGGTACGACTGAAATGATTAGGCACGTTTCCTTTCACCTAATGCGTTTGTTTACCTAGTAGTAAATATTGTAGGTATCCGGGGGAGTTAATCAACTGTTGTGGAGTTGCATTCTTGGGAGGGATCTCGATTGATAAAGATGAAGATTAAGCCACCCAAGAGGTGGCACGAGCATGAATAGCCAGTAATAGTGAACCTCGCTATTGTTGGTGTTTTAGATTCAGCTACTGGAACAAAATTACCATGTAGCACGGGCTATGGTGAGCCTGTAGTGGAGGCTCTTTGGAGGCATTACCTGTATCAATAGCTGATACTGGAGATCTGGGGATGGGGTCCCTGGACGCGCCAATCCAATTAAGACCATAAGGCTGGTCAGACCGGTGAATTGATGAGGTACACACGTTGCTCACAGTTCAGTGACGCAGGGGTCAGCAGGGCTCTCGGCGGGCTGGCCGGCCTAAGGGAGATGTCCGGGTGTTACAAGAGGATTGGTTTATCTCTTATCCCAGTTCCTCGAAGTTGGTAGTCTGGTCGAATTTCATTCTTCAAGGAGTCGCAGAGATGGTTGAGGCGTTCGTGAGGGACGACCATGCGAAGGATCCGTCCTGCTTCCCTGCACTTGTATTCCCAGTAGTCGTTGTGGGTTATCGAGTTATGCTGTCTGTCCTCCTTGGAAAGTGAGCGGCCACGTCGGATATACCCAGAGGAGGCAGCATGGGAGCCTGTCAGTCTGGTTGGTACCGGTGCGGGATCTGGAGGGGGAGATGGTGCCCGGGCGGCCGCATGAGGGCGCAGGAGAGCCGGTGACATCGACTGAAGCATGGGAGTCGCTCGAGTCATCGTGGTCGGCTTCCTTGGGTTCGTCTTCGGAGTCGGTCGAGTCATCGGAGTCAGTCGAGTGTTCGGAGTCGGCCTCGTCGTCTTGGTCAGCTGTCCTGGGGGTTGCTGCCGTTCCTGTAAGTGGGACATGCTCGGGGGACTGCGCAGTCACTGTGGCCGGACTGTGAGGTCTCCAGTATCCTTCGATTAAATTAGCAAGAACTTGCTAATTTCGCTTAAGCCTACCTGAGGTCATTGGAATTCCCTTACGAAGGACAAGGAGCTGGGATATGAAGATAAGGAATTGGGCTATGAGGAAAGAAGCAGAAGAACGGTGCCTAGCCACTTGGGTCATCAGAGATCGAGCAAGGATCTGGCAAGAAACGAGGCCCTCGATCTACAAGGCCCTGAAAGGTGGGGAGTCGTCCTCGAGTCCTGAGTGAGTGTTTCTTCTCTGCACTCCTTAATATTCACAGTAATAATTTTTGAATTATATTTTTCAATATAATTCATCAGTGGGTGGTAATGAGTATGGGTCACTATACACAGCACAGTGACTCAGTTAAGTACAGGCTACACTCATCTGGATGGAGATACTGTGTACTTACATAACTCTTCACAGCTTGCCATAAAAGTGACATCACATGTTTATACAACACTAACATTACCAAAGAGCGTAACACATAGTTGCATGTTATTTGATATCCATATAATCTTATTTTAGCCGATGTATATTGCAATATACTCCATCAACAATGGTATTTGGATGCACAGTCACGTCATTATATATATTGATACATGATCTAGCTCCGAGCAGGTAAAACACGCTTTAGCAACGTTTGTCCGACATTGAATCATCGTCTTCAAAGCTGATTCATTGTTGCATCAACGTCGTTTGCCTAGATATTCCCAGGAGGTGGGTGGGGGGGGGGGGTAGGCGAACTTGCACTATCGTCTTGAGGAAAGCGCAAACTCTTAAAAAAAGGCGATAACAGGTCAGAATTATCATACATGTTAAGAGCAGCGCTACTCGCAAAAGCAAAATTATACACAGTACGGACTTGCGGCAGGAGAAGGAACAGTATAGGAAATGTAATTTTTTTTTTTTTATTATTATTTTCTACCACAGACGTGGCCACACATTTACAATGCTAACCAGCATATATACATTTTCTTCTGTCCTCCATGGACAGGGTTAGAGATACTGTGAGGAAAGTATCGGATACATGGAAAGTAAGGAAAAGTAAGGATACATATCGGAAAGTAAGGATACATGGTGGAGGAAATGTAATGAAAGGGTTGGTTAGGCCATGTTTCAGTTGACATGGAAACGGTGGACAAGCGAAATAATGATTACATTGTAGCTAACGGTAGTATCACAGTAAATTTTGCCTTGTTCTTCATTAATTTGAAGCACGAAACAATGGGTATAAATTGGATAAGTTTAGATTTAGGAAAGACTTGGGTAAATACTGGTTCAGTAACAGGGTTGTTGATGTGTGGAACCAATTGCCGCGTAACATGGTGGAGGTGGGGTCCCTCGATTGTTTCAAGCATGGGTTGGACATGTATATGAGTGGGATTGGGTGGTTATAAATAGGAGCTGCCTCGTATGGGCCAAGAGGCCTTCTGCAGTTGCCTTTGTTCTTATGTTCTTAATTTCTTCTGCCACTTCAATGGGGTTTTAATAGATAAATGTGGGTATAGAGGATTGGGGGTGAGTGGAGTAGGCAACAGAATCGTCTATGTTAACATTTAAATATTAACAAACAATAGGAGGATGCTAGTAGAGGGCTGGATCGTTCCTACACCAAGTCACGCGGATAGGAAGCCCGCGGCTTGTCAAAGGTTCATTCCCCCCCTCCCCCATTATTCCTGAAAAAAATGTTCTATCTGGATTTTAAACTGTTTAAACTAATGTCTTGACATTATGAGTTTCGTGAACTGTATGTAGCCGGGAACAAAACTTAGCCTGACTACAGTTAATCAAGGGCTAGACGACCACCTTGCAAGGGCTAGACGACCACCTTGCAAGGGCTAGACGACCACCTTGCAAGGGATAGATGACCCATCTTGCAAGGGCCAGATGACCATATTGCAAGGGCTAGATGACCACCTTGCAAGGGCTAGACGACCCATCTTGCAAGGGCCAGACGACCCATCTTGCAAGGACTAGACGACCCATCTTGCAAGGGCCAGACGACGCACCTTACACCAGTACCGAAACCAAACTGATAAAATTGTGACTCGCGATTCGTTTCTTGACACCCGCAAAACGTGTGCTCAGCATGGAGGCCGAACTAGCTCTTAACTTTTGTTGTGTCCTAATTCGTAGTTCAATAATTATTGTTATCTTTCACCCAAGCAGAGAGCACGCGATAAGATTGAGTAGTCAATGATATCATGAAGATAAGGGCTGAAGGCCAAGTCCACCGACGACTCAGTATTATAACATTATCCAGACGTTCAATTCATAGATCAAACGTGTAATAAAGATACATTAGGAAATTGTATGGGATGACTGATGAACTAGCAACAGGGTTCATCAACATGTGTGATGAACTAGCAACAGGGCTCATCAACATGTGTGATGAACTAGCAACAGGGCTCATCAACATGTGTGATGAACTAGCAACAGGGCGCAACATGTGTGATGAACTAGCAACAGCACTCAACATGTGTGATGAATTAGCAACAGCACTCATCATGTGTGATGAACTAGCAACAGCACTCAACATGTGTGATGAACTAGCAACAGCACTCATCATGTGTGATGAACTAGCAACAGCACTCATCATGTGTGATGAACTAGCAACAGCACTCATCATGTGTGATGAACTAGCAACAGCACGCAACATGCACGACGAGGTAGCAACAGTGTTCAACATGCTATTCTGTGATAAGTATTATCACAACCCTTCTTCAAACACGAGGAAATTATCGGTTGAATATACAGCTGTTGGTTAATTGTTTATACAATTAAAATACAGCACCATACACTCACGATAACAAATTCTAGTGACATGTCAACCACGATGGAGTATTATAGTAACATGTTTTAGCATGTTACTGACAAAACATGTTAACCGGCTAAAGAGTATCATGTTTTAATGGTTAATGGAACTGTATTGAGCTCACGTAAGTGTCCAAGCCGACCTGTGGAGAATATATAAGCCTCAAAGTACATAAACTTGTTTGTTAACTGGCTTCAGCTGTGAGGCTGGTCTAAGGTCACCCCGGGGGAGTTTGATTTGCCCTTTAAATGTAATCTCTCACTGACACACTTATTAATACTTTTCATCGCGGTGTTTGGTACCCTAACGCCGAAATAGGACGTCTGCCATTTTTTTTTTACTTATTTCAAGGAAGTGTTTATATAGATAATCTGGAATTACTAAGAGTGCTATGTGCAGCCTGCCTCCCGAGACTAATATCTTCAAGGCAGAAGTTCTTGTAATCTTCGTCAACTGCTTGCCCAATGTCTTTCATTCCTTCGTCATTGAGGTTGGCTCCCGCAGTGCCCTCATGGCCTTGGAGTCATTCAGTGGTAGTCGAAATTTAACATTGGCAATTTCTCTAGCAGATTTAAGGCAGTTGAATTTTGCTGGGTTCCCAGCCATATTGTCTGGCCTCCAACCTTGGATAGCCAGACATTCTAGTTTATATATATATATATATATATATATATATATATATATATATATATATATATATATATATATATATATATATATATATATATATATATATATATATATATATATATATATATATATATATATATATATATATATATATATATATATATATATATATATATATATATGTCGTACCTAGTAGCCAGAACGCACTTCTCAGCCTACTATGCAAGGCCCGATTTGCCTAATAAGCCAAGTTTTCCTGAATTAATATATTTTCTAAAAAAAAATTCTTATGAAATGATAAAGCTACCCATTTTATTATGTATGAGGTCAATTTTATTTTATTGGAGTTAAAATTAACGTAGATATATGAACGAACCTAACCAACCCTACCTAACCTATCTTTGTAGGTTAGGTTAGGTTAGGTAGCCAAAAAAGTTAGGTTAGGTTAGGTTAGGTAGTTGAAATGCAATTAATTCATGAAAACTTGGCTTATTAGGCAAATCGGGCCTTGCATAGTAGGCTGAGAAGTGCGTTCTGGCTATTAGGTACGACATATATATATATATATATATATATATATATATATATATATATATATATATATATATATATATATATATATATATATATAATTAAGATTTATAAAGGTTGTATCTCTCACTCAGATTAACAAGTAATTCAACATTACTTATCAAGCTGAAAAAATAATGACTTTTTAATTAAATAAAAAAAAGAATAGGAAGAATGCAAAATCCGGGATCTCATTAAGACTTGACGGCTCATATTATCTTATCTACTAACACCGTCTAAATTATCGTGCGTCAGTGGTTCAAGAGGTGCAGCCGGATTATGGAGCAGTCTTCATGAATGGAGACACCCCAGGAAGCGGATGCGTTGGGCGATCACCCTTATCACGACATTGTTTACATCAGAAAATTCCACCTTTTCATTCACCGGTGTGTGTGACGTCACGATACTTGGATGATAATACCTGTCCTGACTGTATGGGGAAGTGTATGGGGGTCATGTGGGGCGAAAATGTATATGTTTATCTCTCAGAATGTTCGGTAATATGTTTATTGTTTGTGATGTGTGTCTATGTATGTATTAACACGATGTACTGAACTGGGTGAGAATAGCTTGAGCTACCTCATCCCTTTGTGTGTATTTTACCTCAATAAACTTATTTCAATTTCAATGTGGGGCGAGCAGGGGTGTGGTTGTGTCCGATCACCATTAAGTAATAATATTTTATACTAGAATGCGCTGAATAGTTAGGCCCATCTTAGGTTAAGTGGGATAGGTTCTTATAGCCATTATTGATATTTGCACTGCGTAGATAAAGCATTTATGGAGGTACAATTCGAGCAGAGGATGAGAAAGAAGCACTAGTTAAAAAAATATTTAGTTCATTACTTGTAAGTTATGTGTACATCATTTTTTCATTCATAAACAGGGGGTTTAGCGGGTAGATTAACGAGTATTTGGAGTTTGTTGACGAGGACGGGGTTCAATTATTTGTCTTTGTAGTACGTGGGTCAAGTATTTACAGAGTAGCGATTCGAAAAGAGGTTGTCAGTGAAGCACTGTTCGAAAAATGTTCGAACATCAGTTGTGAGTCGTGTGTAAAGTGGTTTTCATTCTTAAACAGGGGGTTTGTCCGCTGTATGGAATCATTTCTGGCCTTTGTTGATGACCACAGCCTGAATTATTTGCTTTGGCTGTACGGGGTGAAACATTTGTCACTCTCACGCTACGCTCGTACAAGCTGCGGCCGACCCCAAAAAGCATCCATCAAATTTAACAAACGGTGTAATAAAAAAAAAGTGTATGTTCTAAGGCATTGGGCAGCCTGTCCTCATTAACAAAGGCCAAATACTCGTTAATCCAGCCGCCAAATCCCGCTGTTTATGGATTTTAAAATTTGCCTACACAAGGCTCACAACTGATGACGTCCGAACACTTCTGGAACAAGTGCTTCGCTGTCGACTTTTGTTCGAACCACAACGCTGTACATGCTTCACCCACGTCCTACAAATACAAATAATCGCCAACAGAACCTAAACATCTAACCTAGCCTAACCAGTGCCTAAATATGTGCAATATAGTAATACAAAATAAAATTAATTTATATTTGAGAAAATTCCTGTTTTGAATGAACAGCATGTTAAAATTTATGAATGCGTCTTTGGGGTTGAACACTGGATGGAATGAACGTAATCTGAGGACTGGTTGTATAACAGTCTTTTTCATTCATAAACATTGAGGGAGGGAGGGGCGGTGGCCTGCTAACAGCCTGTTCTCTTGCTAGAGTGAAGAGCTTTCGGCCAATGATTTGAGAAGAAGTTGCCGCGCGGGACTGTTGTTTGTGTGAAACCAACACAGGTGTGCTTTGCTGTTGGTTGTTTTTCCTCGCCTTCTCCGCTAGGCCAGAGTACTGGCGGAAGTGTAAGTACTGTTATGTTTATATGGTAGGTGCATTTCCTTACAACGACAAGTAACTAATATGATCAGATAGACAAACGACCAGTCTGGTTAACCATTATCGGTGCAGCGGACGAGTGGTAAATATTCTTATTGGCCCGTCTTCCAGTTTATTACCAAGTATTTCGGTTACAAGCGCGCCTGCTATTAATGCTACTTGGGAGATGGGTTGAATTCTGGTAGAGAAAGGTAGGTTACTTACAAGTAGATGAATTATCTCTCTACCCGTTGCGTACGTAGGGGTGGGCATGTACACTGTTAGCTGTATGGACATGGGGTTGATACCTTTATGGAATCGTTTTTGCAACAAATCTGTCTAGTCAAATTGTTATATTAAACTACACGTTGGAAGGAACGAATTGTGATATGTATCCTATTCTTCCCGAGGAATTTCCATGTTATATGAACTGTAGCACGTTTTGACTTTTTGAGCTTCGTAAGTCTCGATAAGATCTACCTGCTCCTGTCGGGCCCTTGCTGCAGTTCCAAGATCCTCAGACTTTAATGGTATGAGACTTAACTTAATTCTGGAATTATTTCCGTATTTACATGTGAAATATTTTCCAATTTGACAATGCCATTTTGCAGTTGATGTTCCCTTGCTTGAATACCGTAGTTCAGGTGGCCGGGTTAAAAAGTGATTTGTACAGATAGATTGTACAGATCCGGGTAGTACGAGACGTTTGGTTAAAGTTTCTTTACACCTGATGCCGCTGTTCACCTAGCAGTAAATAGGTACTCAGGAGTTAGACAACTGTTGTGAGCAACATTCTGGAGGCAGTCGGTACAGCTGGTCAATGGGGGCCCTAGATAAATAAAACTACAGGCTTCCTGTCCCCCACAATGGGTAACTATACAACTTTGGAAAATAGCCAGAGATTTAAATATAAATGTTTATATCTAAAATTATGAATGCAGCTGGAGAAATTAATAAAGTCAAGGCTGCAAACCAGTTTTGATACGGCACACAACATCTACTCAAGTTCTGGGACAGAAGTGACATGGTATGGACGGACGTTCTGGGATTTGACCCCCCCCCAAAAAAAAAAAAATTAATATTTCTATCAAATTTTTAATGTCAGTGATTTCAGTATTGAATGAGTATGATCCTTGAGCATGAATATTACAGCCCATCCTACAAAAAATGAAAGTACTTCTAGTAATTATTTGGTTGAAAGTA